AATTTTTTAAAATTTACACCCAAATTAGCATATAGTGCAACAATGATTTCAGGAGTAGATTCCTTAATGCCCTTTACCCATTTAGCCCATCCCCCCTCCCACAACCCCTCCAGTAACGCTCAGTTTGTTCTCCATATTTATGAGTCTCATCTGTTTTGTCCCCCTCCCTGTTTTTATATTATTTTTGTTTCCTTTCCCTTGTGTTCATCTGTTTTGTCTCTTAAAGTCCTCATATGAGTGAAGCCATATGATTTTTGTCTTTCTCTGACTCACTAATTTCACTTAGCATAATACCCTCTAGTTCCATCCACGTAGTTGCAAATGGCAAGATTTCATTCTTTTTGATTGCCGACTAATACTTCATTGTGTATATATATACCACATCTTCTTTATCCATTCATCCATCGATGGACATTTGGGCTCTTTCCATACTTCGGCTGTTGTCGATAGTGCTGCTATAAACATGGGGGTGGCATGTGTCCCTTTGAAACAGCACACCTATGTCCCTTGGATAAATGCCTAGTAGTGCAATTGCTGGGTCATAGGGTAGTTCTATTTTTAGTTTTTTGAGGAACCTCCATACTGTTTTCCAGAGTGGCTGCACCAGTTTGCATTCCCACCAGCAGTGCAAAAGAGATCCTCTTTCTCCGCATCCTTGCCAACTTCTGTTATTACCTGAGTTGTTAATGTTAGCCATTCTGACAGGTGTGAGGTGGTATCTCATTGTGGTTTTGATTTGTATTTTCCTGATGATGTACACTCAGGCATTTTATAATTCTGCCTTTGCCGTTACTTCCTGCATGTGTATCCTTTCAAGGTTAGCCAGAGGTGAGAGTTCAGTACCCTCTTTGGTCTTTGCCGAGAAGACATGAAGCCCTGGGCATGTGCACAGCCTTATGTATGTGCATGGCCTTCTCGATTCCTAGGAATATAGAATTAGAATTAGAATATAGAATTAGAATATTAGAATATAGAATTAATTCCAATTGTAATTGGAATTAAAAGCTGGTGTGGAGATCACATTTCCCTTTAAATTTTTGTTAACCTGTTGTTTGCCCCAGCATTTATTCATTGTTTAATGTAGCTGATATGTTTCAAAAAATTGCCTATAATTTTCTACCAATGGCCCTGGAGAAAAGGTTTTCACACTGGGCTAAGTGTGAGTAATGTCAATAAAGGCAGTTTTGAACTGTCTGGCTTCTTCCAGGGAACCACCAGATAGTTTAAATAATGATATTTCTCAGAGAATGAGGCTTTTCAATGAGCTCTAACCCTGTTCTGCTCTCTTTTGAAAGCTGCCAGGCTATTGGGGTCCATCACCATTATAAGCTAGTGGTTTTGAAGGCTACCATGGATCTGGTGAACAGGAGATGGAATAGGGCAAGTTAAAAGGCTACAAAGGTTGGATTTTTTACTGAGATTGGGCTGTTTTTCTTATGTAAACACTCCTTGGATTGCTTTAAGCTTTGAGGTATTTTCTAGAGTTCTGAAAAAGTTGATTCTGACAAATTTGCCAGTTTTCTAATTGGTTTTATGAAGGAGAGAATTTTCAGGTCTTAACCTTTGCCATATAGCTGCCTTCACCCCTCTCGTTTGAATTTAGCATCCAAAACATCATTTATTTTGTAATACTTAAAATATTGAACTTACCACTTTTGCATTAAAAAATGAGGCAAAGTCCAGGGCGCCTGGATGGCTCAGTCAGTTAAGCGGCCGACTTTGGCTCAGGTCATGATCTGACAGTTAGTGAGTTTGAGCCCTGCCTCAGGCTCTGTGCTGACAGCTTGGAACCTAGAACCTGCTTCAGATTGTCTCCTTTCTCTCTGCTCCTTCCCCGCTTTCATTCTGTCTCTCTCTCTCTAAAAAATAAATAAACACTAAAAATTTTTCTTTTTAAAATGAGGCAAAGTTGAAACATTTTATTAACATTTGCTCTTTTTTTCTGATAAATGATGACTATAGATCACGTCCATTCTAAAGCCATACTCTGTTTCCAACAGGAACTATCATGTATTTTATTACCTCCTGGCAGGAGCAAATGAAGAAGAAAGATTAGCATTCCATCTTAAACGACCGGAAGAGTATCATTATCTAAATCAGGTGAGGATTCATGAAAAGTATTTTGAATGTTGGGCATTATTAAATTTTAGCTCTTGAGAAAAGTTTTTTTCCTAATACTTTGTTCTCTGAACCTGGTAATAGACATTAACTAGCATTTTCATACATGCCGCCTAAAAGTTTATGTGATGCGCTTCTCAAATTTAAAAATTATTATTACTTTCAATTGTAAGAAGTTAGTTATATGTGTGCCCTTTGCTTTTTGTGAGACTCTTTCAGAGAATAATAAACTGTTTATATACATACCTACACCTTAATAAAATGGGTTGGTCTTTTCAAAGTGATTTACCTTTTATCGACAAGAGCATGCTAAATATCACTAATAATTAATGTTTGTCCTTCGCATGGGATTACTTGAAACCTTTTTTGTATGTTTTGAAGTCTAATACATATGCCTCTTTGCATGATATTATGATACTAACTTAAAAGTATGATTTTTTTTAATTTAGTGAATGATCCTCTTTAGTATGAAATTCATCAAAAAGAATGACTTACAGAATTTGTATCTTTCTCTGAAACTCAAAAATTCACCCCTAATTAGGGAGTAATTTCTCCCAGTTTTTCATTACAGTAGTTTCTCCAATTTTATTACTTCTCATATTAACAAAAATTCTAGAACCAAAATCAATGAAATTGGTATGACAGTAGATCACTTAACAGAAAGACATTCCTTGTTTTTTTGGATCAAGACAAGATGTAATATCCTTGGAAATAAATGTCTTTATGGTAATTTAAAAAATGTTTATGGAGCTTTTGTAAAGAAATTGACATTTGATGATAGTTTGTAGTAAGGTTATGAAATGAGTATCCTAGACTTTTCCCAAGATACACAGCATGCTGTGTAATGATATTTCTTAGTTTTGAAACTACCTATTTTATATAAGCTAATATAACTTTGTTATCAAATATATCAATTTCAAGATGATTTAAAATTTCACTTCTTGATATAAATACTAAACATTTCCACTGTATAAAAATTAAGTAGATTTAAAAAGTTACTGATTTAGCTTCTGACCTTTTTCTTTCCCCTGTTTAAACAATTTGCATATATTTGGGTGATTAAATATTTTCTTTTAAAAACTAATAATTACCCATAAATGAGCTGATAGTATTATAGAAACCCAGAGCTTATTAATTCTTCTTCCAGATTTTTTTTTTATCGGTGCCCATACCACACATATTCTTGTCCTAAACGGGTCAGTATTCATAGAATGTAAGATTGATCAATTAATACAAATCTCAGAGTTGCTGGACAACAGCATGTATGGATTCGTTGTAATGATATATGATCTCCCAGAATCTGAATGTTCACCTAGTTGTTTCTTGTTTTATGCTGCTACACAAAATAACTTTCTTTGGGTAGCAGCAGTGCTAACTGAATAGTATTTCTAAGAGATAATTAGAGAAGAGTAATAATCATTACTTCTACCTAACTAATCTGCCTTACTTTCAGATAACAAAGAAACCCCTCAGACAGAGCTGGGATGATTATTGCTATGACTCTGAGCCGGTCAGTACAAGTACCTAAATATTTTGTGTTCCTGTTAAAGGACCCTCACTCACCTTGCTCATTTGCATCTATCTCATGACTTAGAAAGAAAATCAGCTGAAATACAAAGACTCTAGGAAAGAAGAGAAATTAATGTTTAATTTCTTTGAATTGATTTATTTGTATGTGTATAGTGTGTGGATTAAAAACCAGTCAATTTACTTTTTAAAACTTTATTGTTTTGCTGCTCATGTTTAGTCTATATTTATTTTGACAATAAATTGATTTGCATTCCTGATTTCAACATTGATGTGGATTCTTATGAACTACAGGGTGTTTTTCCCTGAGATATATTTTTTTTCAGTATTTTTTTAGTGATTTCATTACTCACATGTTGTGAGTAGTATGTATTCATTTTAAAAAGTTGTAGTCTTCCTGTTTTATGTGTCAATTAACAGTCTTTTCACATGATGGATGCATGTGCATTTTTCTTTGAAATTTTTTTAATAGCAAGAGAGGCTATCATTTTCCAAATATTAAGAATTGAAATTCATATAAATAAGATAAATAATGTTTAAATTAAGTGATTTAAGGGCATATATGATGTAGGGCATATATGATGTATGATTTAAGGGCGTAAAATGAGTAGGTAAATTTAATTTTATTTGTTACATTTTATAAAGGCAAGTTTGTAATTATAAAGAGAACATAAAAAATCTTTTTCCTGCCATTCCCTTTGTAATGAGGTCAGATATAAAAGGCTGAGAATCTGCACTCATCTATATCTATTAACTTATGAACTAATTTATTAACTATTCCTTCTGGAAACATAACTTATCTTCGTCCTTGCTTTAAATAACCGTGACTTTAATTTTCACTGCATGTGTTTACAACCTCCAGTAATTATAAAACTGTTTCAGAGAGTTGAGAAGGATCAGAAATTATGGACATTAATTTTTTCCTTCATACAAAGTTTAATTGCATTACCTTTTCATTATATATCAATTAATTTATGGTTTCAGATTTAACATTATGGAAAATTAAATTTAGACATTTAAATTTATAGATTCTGATAAATTTTAGTAGAAAAAATTATGCTGTTTTGCCACTCTTGATAAGTTCCCACCTTTCACCTATTATATCAAGTGACTGATCTGTTGGGAAGTAGGTAGGAGACTGGTAGACTCATATAGTAAATGTAAGACTTGATTGCCTGTAAAGAGCTTATTGTGACATTATGAACTGATCTGCTGTTATTTAGTCTGAGTCATGCTTCAGGATTTGGGCTCTGAAGCAGACAGACCTGCCTTGATGACTGGCTTACCCATTTACTAGATTTGAGAACCTGAGCAGGTCACGTAACTCTTGTTTCCATCGTCTGTCTAAAGGGATAACAATGTTCTTTAACTTTTGTGAGTATTAAATTAGTGCAGGAGTGCCTGGGTGTTTCAGTTGGTTGAGCATCCAACTTTGGCTCAGGTCGTGATCTTGTGATCTGTGAGTTCGAGCCCTGCGTCGGGCTCTGTGCTGATAGCTCAGAACCTGGAGCCTGCTTCCGATTCTGTCTCTCTCTCTCTGCCCCTCCCCTACTCACACTCTGTCTCTCTCTCCCTCTGAAAAATAAACCTTAAAAAAAATTAAAAAATAAATAAATAAATTAGACAGTGCATCTAATAAACAGCTTGATAGAGTGCTTCTTAGTACTTCATAAATGTACAGTACATGTTCCCAATGTTGCTGCCACCTTTGAGATCATCATTGTCTCCATCTTTTCTTTTTAGAATTTTATACCCAAATTCTTCTACTCCTTTTATACCTTTTTTAAAAAAAATTTTTTTTTAACGTTTATTTATTTTTGAGATAGAGAGAGACAGAGCATGAACAGGGGAGGGTCAGAGAGAGAGGGAGACACAGAATCTGAAACAGCCTCCAGGCTCTGAGCTGTCAGCACAGAGCCTGATGCGGGGCTCGAACTCACGGACCGTGAGATCATGACCTGAGTCGAAGTCAGACGCTTAACTGACTGAGCCACCCAGGCGCCCCTATCCTTTTATACCTTTCATCACTAGCCTCTTGCTGATGTTTTCAGTCTATTATAGTTTGAATAATTTCTGTTACTTTTTCTTACAAGTTAATTGATGAAAGCAAGCAGTCAATATGAGAATCTTTTGGTTTATCTTCCTAGCCCTCCTCAGAGTATATTTGGGGCCAAACTAAACTTTGTGTCCCTCTGAGTTATGCGAATTTATGTGACTTAGCATTATAAGAAGAGAGATTTTTTTTTTTTAAAAATGTCTTATTTATTTTTGAGAGAGCGCAAGTGGGGCAGGGGCAGAGGAAGGGAGACGGAGGACCCAAGGCGGGGCTCTGTGCTGACAGCAGTGAGGCCGATGTGGGGCTCCAACTGGGAGAATCATGAAATCATGACCTGAGCTGAAGTTGGACGCCCAATTGACTGAGCCACCCAGGTGTCCCGAGAAGAGAGGATTGTTAAGGATTGTTTTGTAATGTGTTCTGTATTATCATACATGTAATGGAGTAGTATAAATGATCCTGAGGAGAACTGTGATGAGAAAATTGCTTTTAACAAGGGGCCAGTTGTTGCCCATTTTATGTTGGTTTAATTCCTATTAAGAGGTATCCTATTAAATAAGCTCAAGCAACTGGTGTTGCATGAGGGAGTGCAGAGGATTTAGAACTGGATAGATTTTCATTTGGCCACTCCTGTCATTTAGGTGAATTATTTAATCTCTGAGCCTGTTTTCTTCCCAATTGAATGTATATACCCCTAATTGCCTCCTTGTGTTTATATTTTAAACTATATCTAGTTTAACTCATTCTTACAGGGTTGAAAGCAGGGTGTACATGCTAGATACTTGATAGTCTAAAAATAATAAATGAGTACTTTCTCAAAAAGGAGTATTTCATCTAATTCAGTACTTGTTCAGTAATTCACTGACTATATATTTACCTTAATGATTATCCACTTTTTTCTTGGCACTGACTTGATGCTAGAGATCTTCAGTGAATAAAACAGATTAACAGTTAATGCATGTATTGAGAACTTGATGCAACCTTCTACAGTATCTTAAAAAAGTAAATATGTGTGAGGAGGTGTTTGAAAATGTAGGTGTAAGGGAATGTGAGCAAATACAGTAAAGGACTCTAAGAACCTATTTGTTATTTTAAAGATACAGATTATATATATGTTTGACTTTTTTGGTAACTGAAATGCAAGGATTACCTGAAAAAAGTAGTATTTTTTTATTTGGTAGTTCACAGCTATTTTTATGCACTAATATGTATTCTTTGCAAATTTTTAATTTTCGTGTATACTTTTTTTGCTGATTGATAATCACGTTTATATTATTTCATTAGGAACTATTTTTGTATCTAATACTGATATAAACATCTTTATATAAAACTAGGCTTCACTTCTCAACTAAATTACTGCCTCTTCTAAAATTTGTTTTTGTGTCTCAGGATCTTGTTTAGCATCTTGCATAGGGATAGGCATTTATTAAATATTTGTTGATTAAATAACATTTGTTTGTGGAATTGAGCTCTCTTAAATGCTTTGGATCTTCAGGACTCTTCACCATTCAAAATCAAACTTGGTATCAGAACATTTTATATTGCTAGCTCTTTATCTTAAGTTGCTTTGAGATCCTTGCCTTGGTGATTTGTGAAAGGAAGAAAAAAAGGTAACTTAATTGTTATTTTGGTAGGTATGGGTTTAGTTTGCAAACCTGTCATAAGAGTTCTAATGAATTTGGCTGTGTCTAAATATTTCACCAGCTCTAATTTTTATACACAGGTATACTTACTAGAGTTACTATTATTTCTGAGTGGCCTACCTTATATTTCCATAGGTAATCTTGATTTCTTCCCCTTTTTTCTTTAATAAGCAGGATTGCTTCTCCGTAGAGGGGGAAGATTTGAGGCATGACTTTGAACGCTTACAACTGGCCATGGAAATGGTAGGATTTCTTCCCAAGACACGAAGACAGTGAGTTTATTTATTGTACTCTATACCATTGGTAGAGAACAAATCACAATGTATGGTTAAGAAGTTCCTCTTCCTTGGTCCTTTGAAAGAATTTTCTAATGGATATTGCTGAGCTAGTGCTTCCTTCTCCCTTGTTAAGCATTACTTAAAAGACCTGTTATGAATTGCTTTTTTAATTATAAATTCTTTGAAAATCTCTTAAAAGTTGGAGCTCTTCTTCCTGTAAAATGTGCATCCATAAATATTTGCATGCAATTGTGGGAATTCATGGTGCTCCTAAAGCCTGTCCATGGACCTTATTTAAAAACTTGCTTTATAATGCTATTTTTATAGTTTTTTATTTTCTGCGTCATTGAGCTCTAATCCTAAGGCATGTGTACCTCTCAATAAAACATAATTTCCCTGCTTTTCCTCTGTAAATTTATGTCTGTACTATTGTACTAAACATATTTTGTTCATTATAAACAAAATAGAAATGTAAAAAGGTTGAAATAAAGATGAAGCAAATTATATTTAAAATAAAACAAACTTTTTAAAATTAAAGACAAATAACCTGACTCTCACCAGAAAAAAAAAAGTAACAACTATTTTTTTGAGACAGGAATTGAATTATGTCAGATGTGATTATATTGTCAACCTTTAATCTTATACTAAAAGTAGAATAACAGCTCTGCTGTTTTCTTGCTTACTTGTGATTACATCATTAGTATGATCTTCAGTTCGATTATTTGCCAAAATGATTTTTTGCCAAATAGTACAATATGTAAATATGCAAGCCAATTTAATTAGTCACATAAACTGCATTTCACTGAAAGTTACTAAGTAAATGAGAGTACCACTATAGTTCCTCCATGCTATATTATATTCGTCCCTCAACATACGTCATGTGATACCTGATTGACATACATGGACCAAAGTGTCAGTCTATATATTAAATAATAGTGAAACTTAATTTCATTTTTTTAAAGGTAACATACATTGGAAATAAAATATTTCTCATACACCAAGGGATTGTGTGTCTTTTACACTTTCTGATATCACTGTATTTCTTATTGGAAAACACTGGAAAAAGTATGTTCTTAGTAGCCTGGCCTTAATTTGACCTTTCTTTATCTTTTAGTATTATCTTCAGATACTCCCTAACACAAGTTTTGCATTTTAACTAGGCTGATGGTGTGTCCTAAAACAGTATGTTGTATTCTGAATGTTCAGTATTTTCCCAATTCCTTGAAGGACCCATCTTAAAAAATTTTTTTTCTTCATTTTATTTTAATAATAATAATAATAATAATAATGATAATAGTTATGTTTATTTATTTTGGGAGAGAGAGAGAGTGAGTAGGTGGGGCAGAGAGAGAGGGAGAGAGAATCCCAAGCAGGCTCTAAGCTGTCATCATGGAGCCTGATGGGGGGCTCGATCCCACAAACTGTGAGATCATGACCCGAGTGAAATTGAGAGTCAGATGCTTGATTGACTGAGCCACCCAGGTGCCCATTCATTTATTTAATTTAGAGAGAGAAAGAGAGAGAGAGAGAGGGAGGTAGAAAACAAGCTGGGGGAGAGGGACGGAGGGAAAGAGAATTCCAAGCAGACTCTGTGCTGAGCACAGAGCTCAATGTGGGGCTCTTATCCCATGACCCCAGGATCGTGACCTGAGCCAAAATCAAGAATTGGATGCTCAACCAACTGAGCCATTCAAATGCGCCCTGAAGGACACATCTTTATCTCTTTTTCAGTCATTCACATACTTACAGTTCTTTTTTTGATAACATATCATATGTACTGCTATTCCCCTCTCCTGTGACCATGATTAATTATCTGCTGATAATTCACAAAATTCTTTTCCACTGCACTCAGATCTAATCCAGAATTATTCTTTTTTTTTTTTATCAGCAGCTTTTTTTTTTTTTAACGTTTATTTATTTTTGAGAGAGAGACAGAATGCGAGTGGGTTAGGGGCAGAGAGAGAGGGAGACACAGAATCCGAAGCAGGCTCCAGGCTCTGAGCTGTCAGCACAGAGCCCGACATGGGGCTTGAACTCATGAGCTGTGAGATCATGACCTGAGCCGAAGTTGGTTGCTCAACCGACTGAGCCACCCAGGTGCCCCCAGAATTATTCTTAACACAGCCCTGTAGGCAGCCCAAAATTTGGTATATTAATTGAAACCTGTTTGCTTTAGAGTACTGTACTTGTCTTCCCTTTTTATTTTTTTTTAAAGTTTAAGTAATTTCTATACCCAGTGTGAGGCTCAAACTCATGGTCTTGAGATCAAGAGTCACACACTCTTCCTACTGAGCCAGCCCGTCACCCCATGTCCTGTCTTTTTGGTGAAATTTTTCTTAATTGTGTATTGTTTCTGCCTTCAGTATTTTAGTATACCTTGCCTTACAGTTTTTGAGTCTGTGTTATCTCTTATTGCAAGATTATAAGCTTTCTGAGAACAGGAATTCTTATTCATATTTGTAAATCTTTTTTATGTTTAATCATTGTACATGAGATTGTTATGTAACATTTATTATTGGAGACTATGCATTATGTATTTGTGTGTGAGAAAACGTTAATGTGCAGATTATTGAACCCCATATTCTGAAACAATGTAATTAGCAACTATATAAAATCCTACTAAAAACAGTTTCTAATAAATGGCCCATGAATTTGTGTTTTTATATTTTTTGGCTTCCATTAGTCTGTATAATGATTCAGTTGATACTGAATTTCCTCTCTAACCCAGAGTACTTTTATAAATTATTCCTTTATAATTGACCTGTGTTTTATTTGAGTTGTATTAATGATTCAAACATTTAAAATTTTAAACTTTATTTATTTTTGAGTGAGAGACTAAGAGAGTGAGCAGGGGAGGGGCAGAGAGAGAGGGAGAGAGAAAATGTCAAGCAGGCTCCATGCTGTCAGCACAGAGCCCGATGTAGGGCTCGAACTCACAAACCACGAGATCATGATCTGAGCCAAAACCAAGAGTCGGATGCTTAACCATCTGAGCCACTCAGGTGCCCCTCAAACATTTAAAAATTTAAATTGTTTGAAAAATTAGATCAACTAGTTGTTGATTCAGGGATTTTGAATGTATAGGTTAGATTCCTAAAGCAGTATCTTTATTTTATTTAGAACACTTAGTAATTTTTGGAAAACACACTAGTTAAAATTTTACAGGTAGGACAGGTTTATTACAAGGAAACAATGGGACAAGCCAGAAGGATGTGTATATGTGTACGGATTTCTAGGAAGGGCTTTTAGATGGAAGGTTCAGCTATGTTAAATGCCTTTGAGGGGTCAGGTAAGTTAGGACACAATATACTTTTCGTGGTTTCATGGAGGTCATTGGTAGCTTCAATGAGATATTTTAATGGAGTCAGATGCCAGAATGTGATAGTAAACAGGGAATGACAAAGTGAAGACAAGTGTGTAAGTTAACAGTTTAAAAAGCCTGTTTGTGAAGGGAAGGAGAAGATGTAGGATCTAGGATGGGTTATTTAAAGAGAAAAGTGGACATGATATTATTTTGGTAGAAAGTTCTTGTAGGTTCAGGTAAGATATAGGAAATAGGTATAATAAAATTCCTGAGTCACCTGGAATTCCCAGGATGTAGAGCACAAGTAGAGGTTTAGTTGTTGACTGGAGAAGGGTCGTGTGTTCCTCTTAGATGGGAGGGAAGAATGGAAAGGAGGGTCCAGATGTAGATGCTGTTTTTATAGGAGGGGCCTGATATCAGGTAATTTACCCTAATGACCTCATAGTGTTTGTTTTAAAAGCATTTATCAAGGGCACCTTAGTATGATGTAGGTAAACATTTCAAAGATGTAACTAATAATGAAAGATCACCTAAGCTACTTAGTTAAAAAAATACAGATTCCAAGGACTTGCCTTTAAAGTTTCTGATGCAGTAGATCTGAATTATACAATGTAGGGAAAGGATGCAATTCCAGGCAGGATGAAAAACATTTAGAAAGGTATGGATTTTGAAACACTATAGCAGATTCAGGCAATAGCAAGTCCTCTTCTAACAACTATGTTTGAAAAGTGATATAGTACTGAAAGTAAGGTTATGTAAAGCACTTTGTGAAGTACCTGACATAATATACATAATTTTTATTATTATAATTAGTATTCCTATATTTTTTATTTTTATAATGATTAGATACTTCATATTTGTAGTGGTTAATGTGCTTGATTAGAATTTTGCAATGAAGTAAGTGTAGAGAATGCACATAAGCAAGCTGTAATGTATGGTTTTATTTTCACAGGATTTTCTCTCTTCTCTCAGCAATACTACATTTGGGTAATATCTGTTATAAAAAGAAGACATATCGGGATGACTCCATAGATATCTGTAATCCTGAAGTTCTGCCTATTGTCTCAGAATTATTAGAAGTGAGTGATTATATTTTCAGTTGTCATTTCTCAAATACTGGGGTAACTGCTCACTTTTAATTTTGTGTAACTATTTGGTTAGGTGTAAATGGGTTAATGCTTTTTATTATGGTGTTTCTTGGAAAGATGGAATTTTTGCTATTACCAGAATCTCTAAAAGGCTTGGGTTTTCTTGCCTGTCTCCCTTTGGCCAGATATCCATAATCCCTCAATTTGCTGGATAGGATCAGTATTTCGCTCTAGACTGTATCATGTTCTAAGCCATTAATAGTGTTTCTCCCTCTATATTTGAGATTTGTTTCTCATACTAAGATTTTGGTTAGATTATTTATTTGAAGATGGAATATCTGGATGAGTGAAGAGAAAAGGGTACTTACCTTTTTTCTATTCATGTCTAAATAGGAGCCAAAGGTCTTAATTTCCTACCATGCTTCTTCCTATAATCAAGGTCTTTATTGCCTCATTCTTCCGGGAGTGATGATTTCCCATGTTTTCCCAGCTCATTTCTCATCTTGCCAGATTCATCTCAAAATCATTTTACAGGCCTTCTCGTTTGACAGAGCAAGGAAATACATGTGTGTTTACTAATCCATGTATAGTCACATACTACAAATGTTTTTATATATCCATGTATATCTATATAAAGGTAAACCTGAGGTCATACTGATGTTTCTAACTAATACATTATCACATGTATCATCCTAGCCTTCTCCCCTTGTATAGAAACTCCCACTTTAACAATAAGGAACCTATCTCCTACCATCTGCCATTCATTTATTTAATTATTCAATTTCAGTATACAGTTGACCCTTGAACAATGCAGTGGTTAGGGATGCCAGCTCTCCTGGGCAGTAAAAAAATCTGCGTATAACTTTTTTAAAAAAAATTTTTATTTTTAAAAATTTACATCCAAATTAGCATATAGTGCAACAATGATTTCAGGAGTAGATTTCTTAATGCCCCTTACCCATTTAGCCCATCACCCCTCCCACAGCCTCAGTAACCCTCAGTTTGTTCTCCCATATTTATAGGTCTCATCTGTTTTGTCCCCTCCTGTTTTTTTATTATTTTGTTTCCAACTTCCTTATATTTCATCTGTTGTCTCTTAAAGGTCCTCATATGAGTGAGGGAATCATATCATTTTGTCTTTTCTCCTCTAATTTTCACTTAGCATAATGCCCTCAGTTCCATCCGTAGCAAAATGTGAGATTTCATTATTTTTGATTTAGCTGGAGTAATACTCCATTGTGCATATATATATATATATATATATATATATATATATACACACATATATACACACACACACACACATATATATACACATATCTACATATACATGTGTGTATATATACACACACACACACATATATACATACACACACACACCACATCTTCTTTATCCATTCATCCATCGATGGTTGGGAGCTCTTTCCCATGCTTGGCTATTTTTGATAGTTCTGCTACTTATCAGGTGCATATGTCCCTTCAAAACAACACACCTGTATCCCTTATGGATAAAATATCTAGTGGTCTGTGCTGGATGGGGTAGTTCTATTTTTTAGTTTGAGGGAACCTCCATGCTGTTTCCAAGGTGTACACCAGCTTGCATTCCCATCTGTGTATAACTTTTAACTCCCCCAAAATGTAATAGCCTGTTGTTGACCAGAAGCCTTATTAAACAGTTGGTTAATACATATTTTGTATGTTACATCTATCATATACTGTATTCTTACAGTAAAGTAAGCAAGGGAAAAGAAAATGTTAAAACCATAAGGAAGAGAAAATACATTTACAGTATTGTATTTATTGAAAAACACCCGCATGTTAAGTAGACCCATGTAGTTCAAATCCACGTTAAGTGTCAACTGTCCATGTATGGGAATGTACATATATCTATGTACACATACACTGATATGGGAAATGACTATCAACTAGAGTATGGTGTTCCTTCTGCTTTTAGTTTTTCTGACTCCATTCATCCAGAATTAATTTAGGTTAGCACCTTTTTCTCCCACTCCCTTCGTTTAGGTTGTTTCATATATTTGTCATACAGTTAGATTTTCTTGTCATGGTCTGCATTCTTTCCTAGGATCCCTCAGTGTCTGAAATAATTTTCTAAAAAATTTGTTCTTTGTACTTTATGGGTTATGGCAAATGCATAATGTCATGTTCTTCCATTATGTTACTATTGGTATAGAATAGTTTCATTCCTAAAAGCCTCTTGTATTTCACCTGTTCAACCCCTCTCCCCAAACTCCTAGCAACCACTGATCTTTTTACTCTGCCTGTAGATTTGCCTTTTTCAGAATGTAACATAATTGAAATTATATAGAATGCAGCCTTTTCAGACTGATTTGCTTCACTTAGCAGTATGCATTTAAGATTCATTCATATCTTTTTTGTGACTTGATAGCTCATTTCTCTTTATTGCTGGGTAATATGCCATTGTATGCATGTACCATAATTTGTTTATTCATTCACCTATTGAAGGACATCTTGGTTGTTTACATTTTTTTGCAGGTATAAATAGCCTGCTTTTTAATGTTAAAATATTACTTATCTTTCAAATTTTGGTTCATTTGCCTCTTCATAGAAATTAACCTTATTAAATGCTGTAAGCTGACTCCATCAGAATAGAACATTTGTGTCTGCTTAGCCTAATTTAATTTTGGTTTTGTAGCAGAAAGTTATTTAGTGGTTTGTGTTCATTATAAGGCGGCAGTGCTTTTTGAGGGCAATGGATGCCTCTTTCTTATTTATCTAACCTTAGAGTGCTTATTTTGCACATGCCTGGGTGTTGCTTATTAACTTAAGTGAAATTAGTCTGGCAGAAGGGGCAGAAGAGGATACACGGAGTTGAAACTAGACTCATTCATTGAAAGAAGTTTTACACTAGGATGTGGAGTGTGGTATTTGAAGGTGGTAATTTTGAAGGTCATGAGGTTGACAATAGGTGAATGAATAAACAATTTCAGTCAGGCATTTTAGGTGATATTTTAGTCAACATGTAGTCAATAAAAACACTTATGAACAGGTTCTAAGAATGGAGGTTTGGTAGTAAGTAGGAAGAAGTTATCTTCAAAGTTTGAGGAGCTATAGAAGTACTGACAGGACCTACCATAGTATCATGCCTGTATTTAGTTCTTAAAAATTATTTTTAAGATGATTTCCTGTAATTGGTTAAAATTGGTAATAATAATTGCAACCTTAAGGCTTTTGTTGAGATAGAATTCAAAGATAGGAACAGTAACTGGTTTAATTAAAATATAAACTCTTTAGTTAAGATTTTAATTGAATTCTTCTCCTCACAGTAGTTCAGTTCAATGATAACTTTAGATTTATTTTTTTTTTTAACTATTAATGTTTATTTATTTTGAGAGAGAGAGAGAGATGGAGAGGGTACAGAGAAAGAGGGAGAGAGACTTTTAACCAGGTTCCATACTCAAGCTGGAACCTGAGGCGGGGCTTGATCCCATGAACCATGAGATCATGACTTGTGCTGAAATCAAGAGTTGTACGCTTAACTGTCTGTGCCACCCAGGCACCCCTATATGTATTTCTTTGGAGGAAATGTTTCTGAAATAATGATTTAATTTTATTTTTTTAATTATTTTTTTGTAGTTACCTCAGGCAGCAATGAATATTTTCAGTCATCTGTTTACTAAATTCTATTTGGGATATATACTTGTGAAATTATTGAAAGGTGAACAAGCTCCAGTAGATTAATTGTAGAGCATATTTTTGTGCATATTTTGGAGCACATTAGAACAATCATCATTATCAAAAACTGTTCAGTTTTTAGCAGGTTTATGTGTTTTGAATATGTTTTAACATCTGTTAAAACAATATAAAGAATGGGTTTTTAACACACATATCAGTTTCTCAATTATGTGAATATGAGAAACATTGTAGACTAGATATTGAGCTATTCATAGTTATTTTGTGTTAATAAAACTAATTTTTTAAATTAAAAGTCATGTACAATTAAGGATATTTGGGAAATTACAGAGATGGCTGATTAAAATATCGTGAATTCAGTCATTTTCTTCAGGGTGTTTATCAAACATAAGCAAGATTTGTGTGTTTTGTGTGATTGTGCATATGTGTGTAGATCTGTGTATGATCATTATTATTACTAGGTTTTAGTGCCAGTATTAAGCCAGCTCCTTAAAGTGAATTGTGTAGTTTTTTATCCTTTCAAAATGTTTTCTGCACTTAAAAGAAGAATAATTAGCCAAGAATAATATATTCCTTAAAAATTTGAGAGATATCAACCCTATATTTGTGATCAGCAATATTTGTGTCCTTCCTGTTTGTTTTTTGTTAATTTTTTAGGATGTGTTTTTCTAGGAAATCATATATTGATTAAATGTTTAAAACTTTATTTTGCATTCTTTGTAAGTATTCTGTTAATGTTTAAAAACATTTTCTCTATTTTGTTAGGTTTCTGTTTGTATTTCTTTTTATAATTTTTTTTTAAGTTTATTAACACTGAGAGACAGAGATAGCATGAGTGGGGGAGGGGCAGAGAAAGAGGGAGAAAGATAATTCCAAACAGGCTCCCTGCTGCCAGTGCAGAGCCTGATGTGGGGCTTGAACTCATGAAACTGCAAGATCATGACCTGAGCTGAAACCAATAGTGAGATGCTTAACTGACTGAGCCACCCAGGCGCCCCTCTGTATTTCTTAATGTTTTTTTGATTTGGTAAAAGTTGTCTTTCATTTCTTATTTTGAAATAATTGGCCTTTAGATTTATTACTTCTGCCATTTTACTTATTATGTATTAATTTCTGTTTTAATATATCTTCTTCATTTTTCTCTGTTAAATTATAAATGGTTTTCTATATACAATATAATAAATACCTGTGTACTCACAACCGTACCCATGTAATAAAATACTGCATATAATTGTAGCTCATTTTGTACTCTGCCACACCATAAGTAAACACTATTATGAATTTGGTGTTTATAATTCTCAGTTTTGTTTTTATATTTTCAGAATAGATGGATGTTTACATAAAGAATATATAGTTTTTAGGGCACCTGGGTGGCTCAGTCGGTTAAGCGTCTGACTTGGGCTCAGGTCATAATCTCACGGTTCGTGGGTTTGAACCCTGCGTCAGGCTGTCTGCTGTTAGCTCAGAGCCCGGTGCTGCTTCGGAATCTGTGTCTCCCTCTCTCTCTCTGCCCCTCCCCCACTAACGCTCTGTCTCTCAAAAATAAATAAACATAATAAAAATTAAAAAAAAAGAACAGTTTTGTTCTACATATTTTTGTACTTTATATATGTAAATGTTTTAATGTATCATTCTAAAACTTGACTTTCTCATTCTATATCCTGTTTTTGAGAATTTTCCATACTGATTTAAATATTCTAAATGATTCTTTTTAGTTGCTTTATAAAATTTCATTATATGAGTAAAACATCTTTTTTAGTGGAGATTGAGATTTGTAATTTTTCATTTATAGATAGTATTATGATAGACATTTTTGTACATGTCTCCTTGTTAACATGTGTGGGAATTATTCTAGAGTATAGTCCAAGGAGTATAATTTTTGGGTTATGGTATACTCATATACATAGCTTACTGATACTGACAGATTATTTCTATAGTGGTTGTACCAGTTTATACAAGTGTATGGAACTGACTTTTGCTCCACATTGTTGCCAGCTTACGTTTGTTTGTTCCTTTAAAAAAATTTCTTGAGTCTACTGCCTAGATCATTTATTTAATAATACTCACTTTTAGTAATAATTGCTTAACCTCACCAAACAACAGTGGTTTTTATCACATAGTTTTTTTCTTAGTTTTATTAGCTTTGTTATATTTGTGTAATCTGGCATTGTTTAATTTTTGTTTTTCAAAATATTTTAAATATAGCTAAAAGCTTGAGGTCTTTTATTTAAACTTTGGTTATTTATTTGTAGTTTTTCTGCATTTTGTAAAGATAATGGTCCTCAAATTTTTTCCAATTCGTTTTGAATTTGAAGGTTGAGCAGTGGATGCTCCAAAAGAAGGTATATTTCCTTTATGGTATCGTCACATTAAAAAAAAAAACGATTGATCTATCATGAATTGCTGGTGGTAGGGTAATGCTTCACTCTATTGTTTTTTAACTCAGTTTCTCTTTATAATCAAATCTTTTTTGCTTTTTATACTTTATATCATACTGTCTACATAAAATTTTGTGAGTGTTTTATCTTTTTTATGTATGGATGCTTTTATAAAATGCCCTTGTTTTGCCATTTCATGATCTCAGTGTGGCAAAAATCAGCAGTCTGATAATACCAAGTATAGTCAAGGTTTGAAGAAATAGGAATGCTCATTGCTGATGAGAGAACAAATTGGTGAAAACCACATGCAATAGTTTGGCAATATCCTTTAAAGATGAAAATGTGTATGCTACAACCTAGTAATTCCCCTTTTAGGCTTGTACTTCAGAGAAACTCTTGAACTCATATGCAAGAATATTCACTTCAGTTTACTTCCTAATAGTGCAAAATGGTGGATAGTGTAAACTCCTACACGTAGGATAATGGGTTAAACACTGTAGTAATTTATATACTGGTAATCTGTACAGCAGTTAAAATGAATGAGCTTGATGTAAATTATTAACATAGATTCAAAAACTTATGGGCAGTACGATGCCATAGATTTAAGAGTTAAATAAACTTGGCAGTATAATGTATTTACAAATACATCTAATATATATAACGTCAACTGAACTGAATGATACTGAACTTAAATGATGACATGTCAAATTCATGATCATATTTGCTTCTAGAGAGAATGAGAACAAAGGAAGCATTAACTTTTTTTAAAGTTTAAATGTGCAAATAAATATCAAACCTCTGAAACATAAATAAGTACTCACTGTAATGCTTTTCGAATTCAAGAAGTGTTCTCACTTTTTAGTCCTTGCCTGCAAGTTGTGGCATTATTGTTGACCATCTTAAAATGTTTTTTTGCACTATTCTGTATTTTCCATATTCTGCACAAAGAAACATGTTTTTCCATTATGGTCAGAAAGAAAACTTTAAAAAGACACATCTGTCTTACACCCCTTCTCTTTTTGGAGGTGGGCACTGGGAAGTGGGGTGAGTGGAAAATTTAACTTTTACCATGGCCAATATTTAAATTACCCAATGTATTGTCTTTGTTTTTTCGATTGTATATTTGCTAATCTCACTAAGCATTTTTTTTCTTTATTTGGCTTTTCAATAAATACGTTGTCATAAATCTTATACATTGAATTTACTTTTCTGTTGTATAGGTTAAAGAAGAGATGCTATTTGAAGCATTAGTTACAAGGAAGACTGTGACAGTGGGAGAAAAACTTATTTTGCCATACAAGCTGGCAGAGGTATGAAAAGATTTTCTTCTCCTTTTTTTCTATTTTTTCTTTCTTTTTTTTTTTTTTTTTTTTTTTTTAATTTGAGAGAGAGTGTGAGTGGGGGAGAGAGAGAGAGACAGACAGACAGACTGGGAATCTTAAATGGGCTCCATGCTCAGGGCAGAGCTGTCCTTATGATCCTGGGATTATGATCTGAGCCAAAATCAAGAGTTAGAAGCTCAACCAACTGAGCCATCCAGGTGCCCTTGAATAGATTTTCTTGAGATCAGAGTACTCTGAACAGTTTTAGAAGTTTGAGTTTGTTCTTTCTTTTAACAGAATGAAAATAACAAAAAAGAGTATTGATTGAAATATCTTCTGAGCCCTTGAAATTTGGTTGTGAATTTTCCCTTAACTTGAAAACTTACTTGAATGTGATTTTAAGCAGTAGGCTTATATTTTTCTCCAGAGATCTTAATTTGTTCACCATTCTTAAGTTTTATGTTATTAATATAGGGTGAACTAGATAGTTACAAATGAGCAGTATTTGATCCAGTTGATTATTTCTTCTTCAAGTAGTTTCTTCTAGTACATCATACTTTTCTAGTTCATTTTTTCATTGTTGGCCACTCATTTGTAATTCTTTTTGTTTGCTGTTTCTTTTTTTTTTTTTTTTTAAATTTTTTTTTTTCAACGTTTATTTATTTTTGGGACAGAGAGAGACAGAGCATGAACAGGGGAGGGGCAGAGAGAGAGGGAGACACAGAACCGGAAACAGGCTCCAGGCTCTGAGCCATCAGCCCAGAGCCCGACGCGGGGCTCGAACTCACGGACCGCGAGATCGTGACCTGGCTGAAGTCGGACGCTTAACCGACTGCGCCACCCAGGCGCCCCTGCTGTTTCTTTTCCACCTGACTTCTAAAAGATGTAGTGCTCCCTACACAGTCCTTGTCTTTTATTCTCTATATTCCTTATCTAGGTTCTCTCACCTAGTCCCATGGCTTTAAGTATCATCTGTATACTGAGTATTGCTGTCTTTGCCATTATAATTATAATAATATACTATTCAGGTGTGTATGAGTGGGAAAATTATTGAAAAGCCTACTATTTTATAGTACAATTTAATGAAAATGATGAGAAATGAAACTATGACAGTTATTATAAAAATAGGACGGAATGTGAGATTAGAAGACACAGAGGTGGGGAAATAGTAATAGAACTATTTCTGTCTAGAGAATGCTTTTTAGGCTGACATTGATCTATTTATACCATCTTTTCGGGTCCTTCTAAATGTACCTTCAAGTCTGTATTTCTTCATTATGTCATGTATCTTATGTCATAGTCTCCCAACTTTTAGAGCTCTTTTCTTTTTTTTTTTTTTTTTTAATTTTTTTTAATGTTTATTTACTTTTGAGAGAGAGAGAGAGAGAAAGCAGGGGAAGGGCAGAGAGAGAGGGAGACACAGAATCTGAAACAGGCCCCAGGCTCCGAGCTGTCAACACAGAGCCTGACACGGGGCTTGAATTTGCAGACTGTGAGATGCGGACCTGAGGTGAAGTTGGATGCTTAACTGACTGAGCCACCCAGGTGCCCCCAAAAGCCAGACCTTTTACAGGGTTTTGCCCTTCTTTTTGCATAAAGGTTTAGTACTTTTATATTTTGTTTTACAACTTTTTTCAATATAAAATATTTCCTTATGTTTATTTACATTTTTAACTTAAAATTGAACTTTCTCAGATAATTTTTATAGCTCCTGACTTATTTTTGTTTGCATTTGTTTAGTGTATTTATTTAGTAAATATTTGAAAATCTTATTTGTGTCCAGAAATGTATTAGGCATTAAAGGTAAAATTAAGGAGCAGTTCTTAAGAATTTGTGTATTTTAAGGGGTAGCTGGGTGGCTCAGTCAGTTGAGCATCCGACTTCGGCTCAAGTCATGATCTCACGGTTTGTGAGTTCGAGCCCCACATCGGGCTCTGTGCTGATAGCTCAGAGCCTGGAGCCTGCTTCGAGTTCTGTGTCTCCCTCTCTCTCTGCCCCTCCTCGCCCCTGCTTACACTCTGCTTTCTGTCTCTCTCAAAAATAAATAAACATTAAAAAAAATTAAAAAAAAAAGAATTTTTGTATTTTAAGAGCAATGGAAAGTTCTTAAAATGTTATCAACAAAAAAGGTGTCTTTGATTATTTTTTTAAAGGATCAGTCTCACAACAGTTTAAAGAATTAGAGGAGAGTGTATTGGTTTTCTATAATTTTGTAACAATCTTAGCAACTTAATGCAACACAGATTTATTTTCTGACAGTTTCCATGGATTGGCAGTCTGGGCACAGGTTTGTTTTGTCTTCTGCTCATGGTTTCACCAGGCTGAAGTCAGGATGTCTGAAAAGGCTGTGATCTCATCTGTGACTCAGCATCCTAGTTCACAGGTTGTTGACAGGATTCAGTTCCTTGCAGTTATAGGATTGAGAGCCCTAATTTCTTGTTGACTGTCAGGAGCCATGCTCATCAGAGTCTACTTGTGGTCCTGTATACAGTATAGCAGTTTGCTACTTCAGAGGCCAGCAAGGGAATCTCAGATGGAAAGGCTCAGTCTCTTTTAGGAGATTTCTCTGGATACTTTCTTTGATTAATTAAAAAAATTGGCTGATTTTGGGCCATAATTATGTCTTTTAAATCCCTTTGTCGTGTAACAAGATAGTTACTGGAGTGAAATTCATCATATTTACAGCCCTGCCCATGCCTAACAGGAGAGTGTTATTCAGAACGTGTACACAAGGAGATGGGAATCTTGAGGACCATTTTAGAATTCTAACACAGAGGACAAGAGTGAATGTGGAAAGATGAGTTGAGGAGAAAGAGGTTTATTGCTTTGTCTAAAATGGTGATATATTGATAGGGAGAAATGGATATTTAAAAAGAAATTTAGATGGTAAAATCAATAGCATCTGGTAGTGATTTGCTTAATGGGAAGCAAGGAGAAAGAAGGAGATGTTAAGGATAAATCCTAATTTTCTCGTTCACACAACTGTAAGAGTATTGGTACCATTCACTGAGATAGGAAACACTCGATGAGATCTTGTTTGGATTGGAAAATGTTAATTGGCATATGGGTTTATTGAGATTAAGCTGTGAAAGGACCACATTTCACAGAAAAAGGGCTAAAAGTATAATATTGGGAGTTATGGGGTAAATAAGTATTATGTTGGTATAATTTGGTATATCTGGATTCTGTCTGACTGTTAACTTTATAAAAATAGTGGTTGTTTAATGTAAACCATAAGTAGATGGGTTGTAGTTTTTAATTTAATATGAAGGTCTGTCTTCTCACTAAAAAATTCAACCCATTTGTATATTTTATGCTAATATGTTTTCTTATTCTGTGTTTTTGTGATTTATGTTTGTGTATGTAGTTTTAAATCTTTTGGGGTGCCTGGGTGGCTCAGTCGGTTATCTCGCAGTTTGTAAGTTTCAGTCCCACATTGGGCTCTCGGCTATCAGCAACAGAGCCCACTTTGGATCCTCTGTGCACCCCCCCCCCTTCCTTCACTTGTGCTCTCTCTCAAAAATAAATAAACATTAAAAAAAAATAAAACTTTTTACTTTTGCTAAGCTAGATCAGATTGTCTTCATTTTGCACTCTGGGAAAAATTGGTTATTCTCCCTGTATATTCTATTTGATTTTTTTGAATTTTAAAGATAACTTGCCTAAGTATAGAATTCTAGGGTCACAGTCCTTTTTCTTTCAGAACTTATAAATGTTTTCCAAGTATTTTCAAGTTTCTGGTGTTAAAGGTAGAGAATTTGATAGCCATCTTTTCTTTTCTTTGCAGGTAATGGTTTAGTTAGTTATTTTTTGGTCTAGAAACTTGAAACTTTTGTTTTTTTATTCACAAAAACTGAGAAATTAATTCATCATTTCATGAGGTAGATTGTAGTATTATCTACATTTTACAAATGCATAAGCTGTAGCTTAAGAATTTCAAGTATCTTGGTCAAGGTTACACAGCTAGAATAAGTAGAGAAACTGGGATTGGATGATAGCCTAGCTTTTAATCATTATTCTCTATTTCCTCTAAAGGTTAGGACAGATATATAAATATGTACCTGATTCAGCTTCAAAATAAGTCCCTAGATAGCAAATATATGTTATTAGGACTTATATTCTTCTAACTACTAGGACTCAATTCTCTATGATATGTGTCCTTCCTTTTTAGCCTGTAGTGCTTTCTAAATGTTGGATTTTTTTTTTTAACTAATAGATGTTATTTTTTTTACAATTTTGGACTTACAGAAAAATTGAGCAGATAGTACAGAGGGTTTCCATAAACTGGGGAAAGTTTGAAGTGAGGGGAAATATAAATTGTATTACTCCATAATGAAACCATTACTCTGGTGATGGAGAAACCCTAAAGGTTAAAATGGATGACAAGTTGAAGACGACTAGGAATGTCATTGTTTTGATTATGTTTTAAGAGTCTGACTCCGACTAGGATTCCACAGATAACTATAACTGATGCCTGTTTTCCAACAGATTTATTCCTCTGCTTGGAATAGTCTTCCCCACTTCAGCTGGCAAAGTTCATTTGTTTGTAAACTTCCTATAATACCTTCTTTACTAGATAAAATGTATACCCCAATTTTCAGTAAAACTGTTTAGAACTGACCTATATTTTGTTTCTTGTACTTTTTAGTCTACTTTACCTGAGTTGGACTAGGTAAATGAGTGTATGTATATGGAAAACTTCAATTATAGGCTATTTATGTTGACAGAAAATTAAATTTCTTATTCAGGATAAGAATTATTGGATATTTCTTGATTGATCGAGAGAAAAACACACTTTGTTATAGTATCTTAGATTATTGCCATTTTCATTTGTTCTCCAACCCTTTTTCTTTTTTTTCAGGCTGTGACAGTGAGGAACTCCATGGCTAAGTCTTTATATAGTGCCCTGTTTGACTGGATAGTTTTTCGGATTAATCATGCACTTCTGAATAGTAAAGATTTGGAGCAAAATACGAAGGTAGACATAAACTATATTATTATATATTTTTCTTGGAAAGCTATTTTAATAAAATAATTAAAAGATGAAATTTAAAAACACAGAATTATGTAGAGTAATAAGTAAGAATCTGTGTTTATATGTATTCCCTGCTCTTTCCTCTTTATGTCTGTTTTTATAGACATATAAACCCTGTTCAAGGAAACTACTGTTCTGTTGTCTTTCCAGACCTTTTTCTTATGTACATTTCTATGGATATAGACTATACAGAGTTGGTTTTCAACATAAAAATAGAATTATGCTATCTGTATTGTATCTAACTTGTATTTTTTTACCTGGTATGTCTTGAAATATATCTGGACCTTATTATTTTTAATAACTTTGTAATATTATATAGTATGTATACCTGTATACCATAAATTTCCCCATAAAAATGTTGCATTTTTTTTATTGTTAGAAATGATGGTGTAACAAATATTCTTTGTGCACATTTCTCTAGGATAAAATCCTTAAAGTAAATTGCTGGATTAAAGAATATACATTTTCAATTTTTGGTAGCTACTGCTAAATTGCTTTTCAAAAAGACTACACTCCACTGGTAGTGCATGAAACTGCCTGTTTCCCTACACCTTTACTCATATTGGATATTATCAGTCATTTCATCTATGCATCTGATTAGGAGGAGTATCCCATTTTATTGTCTGTTTTTTCAATGATAGATTAAAATTGAGCATCTTCTCATGTTTTTTCATTATTTCATTATGTATTTTGCCTTTTTGTTACTCCTTTTTTGGAGTCATTGTGGATATTGCAGAGACTTATAGTTTGATATATATTACAAATATTTTCTCTTAACTTTTATGTTTTATTTATATTATATACCTGGGCCTGTATTTTTTTTTTTTTCTTTTTAGAGAGCGAGTGGCCAGGAGGTAGGGAGAGGGAGAAGGAGAGAAGGGGAGGGAGAGAATCTTAAGCAGGCTCCACACCCAGGGTAGGAGTTCAACGCTGGACTCAGTCTCACAACCCTGAGATCATGACATGAATCAAAATCAAGAGTCGGATGCACAACTGACTGAACCACTTAGGTGCCCCTGGCCCATATGTTTTAAGTTTTTGTACAGTTAATTCTGTCATTCTTTTCCCTTATTTTCCAGAGTTGTATTTATTTTTCTTACATAAGAATGCATCTTTCACCCCAAGATTATAAAAATATTTATTCTCATACTTTTAGAATTTAATTTTTTATAATCAGATTATTTATCTGGTTGGAATATTTATTTATGTATTTTTTAAGATTTTATTTTTAAGTAATCTCTACACCCAATGTGGGCTCAACCTCAACCCTGAGATTAAGAGTCACCTGCTCCACCAACTGAGCCAGGCAGGTGCCCTTGGAATTTATTTTTTAATATGGCAGATTTTAGATATTTAAATTATTTTAAATCCATTTTTATTTCTCAGCAACTTTATGGAATAGTCTGCATATTCAGGGTAATTAAAAATATCATCTTTATTACTTAATTCTCCTGTCTTAAATGTGTAATTGCTTTTATATTAACTTTTTATGATTTGAGTAAGCCCACAGCCATAAAATTAATTGTAATAGTTATCTAATTTACCAAATTGACATATTTTTAAAGTTCATTACTTTCACTGTTTTTCATAAGGGCTTAGAATTAGAATCAAAGAAAATACTTTTTTTTAAGAGAGAGAGCATGAGTAAGGGAGAGGGGCAGAGGGGAAGACAGAGAATCTTAAGCAGGCTCCATGCTCAGCGCTGAGCCTGGTGCAGGGCTCGATCCCATGACCCTGGGATCATGACCTGAGCCAAAATCAAGAGTCGGACACTCAGCTGAATGAGCCACTCAGTTACCCCAAAGGAAATATTCTTAATGGAGAATTAAATAAATCTCTCACTATTTATCACTCATGACATTAGTTTGCCCAGTGGCTCTCTTAGCACCGGTGGAGAAAAATTGTTTTCATTTAACCAAAATTGTCTTGCAACTCTATTTTAAGAATGAGGTGAGGTGGTGAGAAAAATGTTGGTTTGGGGGCATTAGAGCTGAATCCCTATTATCCATAGTAAGAAGTTAGAATATAATTTGTAGAAATAAAATATCAAGACATAGATGAATGAGCACTTGTATACTGTACTCTACTATTTTATACCAAATAGCTAAAAGATTTGAGTGTGTGGATTTTAGGGAGCAGAAGTTGACATTGAAGAAGGGATTGCTATTTTTTGTTACAACCTTTTAGAACTTTTTTTTCAACGTTTTTTTTTAATTTATTTTTTATTTTTTTATTTATTTTTGGGACACAGAGAGACAGAGCGTGAACGGGGGAGGGGCAGAGAGAGAGGGAGACACAGAATCGGAAACAGGCTCCAGGCTCCGAGCCATCAGCCCAGAGCCTGACGCGGGGCTCGAACTCACGGACCGCGAGATCGTGACCTGGCTGAAGTCGGACGCTTAACCGACTGTGCCACCCAGGCACCCCCAACCTTTTAGAACTTTTTAACATCATGAACCTTGTATAATTTTTTTGATGAAAACTAAAATTTGAAAAAGCCATATTCTGATACCCAGTTTAATTTTTAGTTTGCACAAGGCTGATGAAACATACTTCTTAGTTTGGTTTGTGAAGCAGAATTCTGTTAGGCTTTAGAAGTCAAAATAGTGGAACTTGCATGGTGTTCTTTGCATAAACATGAATAATCACGAGCAACCTAGCTTTAGGTTATTTTTTACTTCCCCATTGGTGGTTCTTTCTATTTCCTTGTCTCTTGGAGTTTAGGAATTTCTGAGATTGAGGTAACAGGTCACTAACCCTGCTTCAAGCATTTCTGTAAAGTAATCAATGTATTACATGTGTTAAAATTTTGTATGTATTTTTATAATTGGGATAAAAAGAAAAAAAATGAAGATAAAGAGAAGTAAGATGCCCTCTATTTTGTGGAATATTTTGGTTGAACATTGGCCCCCCAGAATTTCCTCTCCACTGCTCTAGAAGAACTTTGAGCATTTTGTTACTTATTTTGTGGATATTATTTATGAAATAAATTTGAGCATATTTTTTTTCCTGTTTTATAGACTTTGTCCATTGGTGTTCTTGATATTTTTGGGTTTGAAGATTATGAAAATAATAGCTTTGAACAGTTCTGTATTAATTTTGCTAATGAACGTTTACAACACTACTTCAATCAGCATATCTTTAAATTGGAGCAAGTGAGTACCTAAATGCATGTATGCTTGTCTTAACCACTTAACCTTCACTTACGTGTATACACATAACATTTTTGAGTCATAGTTACAGGCATTTTAAGTCTTGTACTTTCATGCAGATATTACAGTCTTCACATAAGTGTCAGCAAATTAATACTCAGAGCATAGTTTTTGAGCCATGTGATACAGGGTTTCCTATATTTTTTTTATAAACCTCAAGTAGATTCAATAATATGTACTTGCTTAAGTATACCTTTCAATATAAAGATGCTTGGGTTTGGTTTGGTTTGGTTTGGGTTTCTCTTGATTTTTAATTGTTGCCATGTGCTTGGTCAATTTGTGTAATGCTAAATATGCTTGTTTGATTGCTTTGGTCTCTTAGTTTCAACGTAGTTGCTTGCTTTGGTCTCTTCTTTATCTGTGGGGTGGAGGAGCTTATTAATAGAATCTTGAATCAATTTAGAGTATGGATACAGAGAAATGGGATAGTTTACAGAGACCAAAATAGGTAACTAGATATTTCTTGTGAAACACTCAAATTGATTTAGAGTTGAAAGTGCGATCCATCAGTTTCCCTGAGAATACTTAGAATAAATACAGGGTCAGAGAAAACGTGGTCTCTTTCTCCAAGCCAGATTTCAAGTTAGTAACGAGTTGAGTTGTGGCCAACAATTTCAGTTTGTATAGGAAGATACAAGCAGAAGCAGGGTTCACTTTGAAATGCTGAAGAAATGAAATGGACAAGAGGATGACAACACATCTACAAAACAGAAAAAAAGAATCTTTCTGTCATTGAGGCTTTTTACATTGGGTCCTAGCTTTAAGCATATTTACCTTCTTAAAGGGTTAGGACAGTTGCACAAGCAGCACTAGTCCTGGCCATCTTGATGGTGCTTAAAATGTTTAGCATATTCAACCTTTTAGCTAGACTCTCTGATGGAGCTGTTAAAAGATAGTACAGTATTATTTGTTACAATGTTAGCTAACATTTATGTAGTACTTACTATTTATCAGGCAGGTACTATTTTTATTCTAGTTGTGCAGATGATACCTAAGCCTAGTATTCAAACCTTAACACTCTGGCTCTATAATTCTTGCTTTTAAAAAGCTGAGCTGGGATTGATCTACTAGACTCCGTCTAGTGTTCTTTTAACTAGATCATGCTAAATTAGTTTTTAAATGGATATATGTATTGGAGGGGTAGAGAAGTGTGTTTTGTTGACTGTGTGCTGTATTTTACAAAGCAAAGCGTCAGTTGCTCTCTGGATCATTAAACAGAAGAGTAAGTAAATTGCTTTTGAAGAAAAAAGGTATTCTCTTACAATTATTGAAATTATTCTTACCTTTTCTAGAAGTGTAGGTTAGACATGGAGGAGCCACAAGAAATACTTTGACTAGAAACATGTATAAAAACATGCCTCACAGTTCATGGAAAATGTTTTTGGGACTACTTGGCTGGGGGTGATCTTTATGTATTTGCTACTCTGAATATCATAGTTTTGGGCAATGTGGTGGAATTATGGATCAGAAGATTTAGATTCAAAGATACAGCTTTTTCCTTTCAATTTTTAATATTCCCTTCTGTAATTTAGTGTAATGGGTATACTTTTGCTATAATTTATAGAAAGTTTGGAGACCTTACACCTCTTTGCCATCTCATCTATTTTATTCTTCCTTTCTCTCCCTTCTTAGGTTTTTCCACTTAAAATGGATTTGCTGGGCCATAAGAGATTTAAGGCAGTTTAAATATTGAGTGTTTTGTTGATTTGTGTATCATTGGTACCTAGAATAAGATGGGTACACAGTGACTGTTAAATTCAATTGAATGCAACATCAGTTAAGTAGATAAAATTTGTTGAAAATGAGGATAGAAGTAAAAAGCTATCAAATATGCTTAGGGAGTAAACATCTGTACTGAAGTAAATTTTTTCTAAAAATTGTGTATGGACACATAGGATGGGAGACAGGTATAATAACTGCCCTGTAGGATGATAAGTGTGAAAATCAGGTAGAAGGTTAAAGTAGTGATATAAAGGATGAAGTTGATTAGAACTTCATGAAAGTCTACAAACATTTCCCAGGGGTGATTCGGGAATATAGTTTTGAATAGAAGATTGAGTTTACCAGATTGTCAATGGGGAAAAGATATTTTAAACAAAGGTAACAATCTCTTTAAAACTGTGAGGCATAAAACAGCATGGCACTTTAGAGGAACTGAAAATAGTTCAGTGTAAGCTAAAATACAGGATATAAGGATAGAGACAGGGAGGAAGATTAGTTTATGAAATAAAGGGTCATATACTTGTGAGCTTTATATGTCATGCAGAGAAGATTGGAATTTTTCTTTTGGAAAATTAGGAGCTATTTGAAGTATATTTAGCAGAGGATTTGAACTGTGTAAGATAGACTGGTGGAAGTGAAATGGAGGGAAGGACGTAATCCTTGAGTTAAAGTAGTGTGAGTGTGATTCTGAGTTCTGAATCAAGTTATATGTAAAGATAATATGGAGTAGGAGACCAGAAAAAGTTTCCGTGATTTGAAAATATACTTACAGTTGTCATTTATAATACTGTTCTCTTATTTCCATTACTTGCTCAGAATTATCCTTGAAGTCATTGGCTCATCACTAAATTGAATAACAGTTGTGTGTCACGCATTGTGCTAGCCACTGAAGACAGCAAATTTAGAGCACAGGGATCTTATCTGAGGAATTTATAATCTAGAGAGTTTTTCTCATCTCTGTCGCTTCTGGGGATATCAAACTAGGAAATTTGCCTTTGTAGAACACCTAAAAAAAATGAACAAAATATATTTAAAGGCATTGAGTTACATTTAAATAAGTGAAGTTCTACAGGGCTTATTATATCTGCAAGAGGGAAACCCAGAGAGACGAGACCAGCATTTTTGGACAGCTTTGCCTCTAAAGATATTTTTCTATTCTGGTAGAGGGCTGCCCAGCCTTAAGAATCTGAGAAGCTGAACAGAGTTTCTTCAGATTTAAGAACAAGGAAGATACTCCTGGTAATTCCTACAGGCTTTATGCTTGAGACCTTAAGGATTATGTCTTAGAAGTAAAGATAAACCAGAAATAGATCATGCATCATAGGGACTGAAGCCCAGTTTAAGATATTCTTAGTTCCAGTTTGGTTGAAAGAGTATAGAATTCCTAATGTTCTCAGCCACGTGCAAAGAGCAAATTCACTCTCCAGTGGAGGAAGAGATCATCCTAGTGCTAAAATTATCTGTATGATTTTTCATATACAGGAACAAGAATTCAGTTTTTTTAACTGAGAATTCTTTTTTTAAAAACATACAAGGAGAGAAACCAACATGAATAAAAAACAAGAGAATGAATAGATTATTCCACAGGAGATCCAGGAAATGATGTTATCTGACATGATCTTTAAAGTAATAATGGTTTCAAGAAATTTTTTTTAAAAGCAATATTTTTATTGAAGAACTACAAAGAGATCCCAAGTTTAGGAAAATCTAGAACTAAAAGGGAGAGTGAAATTAAGAACATGATAGTTTTTAACAGTTAGATATAGCTTAAGAAAAGATTAGTGATTTGGAAGATAGGCCAGAAGAAGATACCTAGTCTGATGAAAAAATAAAATACAAGTAATAAAAGGGACATATGGGGTAAAGTGAAAAGGTTTAGCATAAGTGTAAGAGGAATTCTGGAAAGATGTATGTGAGGAAAGAGAGAATATGATAGGTGCTATATTTGAAAAGATAATGGTTGAGAATTTTTCCAAAACTCAAAACAAAAAACAAAAAAAATCCAGTAAGTGCACATTTGAAAAACTCTAAGAATTCAAAGCATGGCAAGTATAAAGACAGTCATATAGTAAACCAAAAACAAAAAATCTGAGAATCTGAGAGGCAGTCAGGGGTTGAGGGCCAGGCATTAAATGCCAAGCGATAGAAGATTTTTTTTTCTCCCTCTGTTAAACATTGTTAAGTAAAGATAGTATTATGATTTTAGGATAACCACCAAATAGTAAATGAATATAAAATTGTCAAGTTAATAGAGGGAACAAGTAAAAACTCCAGCAATCCAAAAGAAAGCAAGAAAGAAGAATAAAAGCAATACTGAAGCAGGACAGATAGCATATGGTAAAATGGCTGATTTAATCCCACAATTATCAGTGATTGTGCTAAATATACATGGATTTATTACTCCAAGTAGAAGTGAAATAGTGTCATACTAGATATAAAACAAAGGTAAATTGCTGCCTATAAGAGAGATTCTTTAAATATAAACATATTAAAAAGTTAAAAATAAAAGGATGGAAAAAGCTTTAATAAACCTGAACAAAAAAGAGCTAGTAGGTAAGTATATTAATATCATGCTTTAAGCATTGCCGGAGATCAAAAAGAATATTTGATAATGCAAAAGGACGAGTTCATCAGGAAGTATACAATTCCAAATTTATAGGTTACTGATAACATAAATTCAAAGTATATAAAACAAAAATTAAAAGTAAAAAAGAAACATGTAACAGACCTTCCTGAATAGCTAACAGAATAAGCACACAAAAGAAAAAAACAGTCAGGGTATAGACTATTTAAAGCACCCAGAGGATGTGGCAGATGCTTTTGTGGGTGCTCAGCCCTTCTTGCCTTTAGGTTTGAATGCCAGTTTACTTGGGCCTGTATCAAATAAGGATATAGAAGGTTTTTTGTTTTTATTTTTGTTTTACTTTTGGATATGGAAGATTTTTAAAGCAAATACTTATTTGACATGTATAGTTAACGAACTGCAAATTTACAAAATGTATAAAATCTGTCCTTGTACTGGACCATAATAACAAAGGTCAAGTTTTGGGATTGAAATCACACACATTTTAGTACCAAACAGAAATTATGCCCGAAACCAACAACCAAAAGATAACTGGAAAATACTTTTATGGGTAAAAATTAAGAAACGTCCTTCTGCATAGACTAGAAGTTGAAGAAAATAGAAAATATATTGAACTGAGTGAGCATGTTGCATACTAAAACTTGTGGGATGTAACCAAAGGTGTATTTAGAGGAAAAGTTTATAGCTGTTAGAAGATTTTAAGATTGAAGAGCGATGATAAAAGTACCCCTCCCAACAAATTGGAAAAAGATATAAAGGAAGTATAAACCAAAGGAAAGTATAAAGAAATAATAAAGATAAAAGAGGAAATTAAATAAGAGTGAAAACAAATATGCCATGGAGGAAGATCAACAAAGTCAAAAGTAATATATTGAAATGATGAATTAAGACCCCTCAGAGGGGTGCCTGGGTGGCTCAGTCAGTTAAGCGTCCTACTTCAGCTCAGGTGATGATCTCACGGTTCATGGGTTTGAGCCCTGCATCAGGCTCTGTGCTGACAGTTCAGAGCCCGAAGCCTGCTTCAGATTCCGTGTCTCCCTCTCTCTGCTCCTCCCCCGCTTGCACTCTGTCTCTCTCAAAAATAAATAAAAACATTAAAAATGTTTAAAAAAAAAAACCCTCAGAAATTCATCCAAGGGAGTGACAGAAAAAGAGAGGGATATAAATAATAAGAATTCCAGTTTATAAAGAGGACATCACCATGGATCCTACACACATTAAAAAGATAATAGGGTACACTAAACAACTTTATGTCCATAAGTAGACTTATCAAATGATATGAAAAAAAAATTACAAAACTGACACAGAAGAAATGCAAAATCTGATTCTTATAACTATGAAAAAATTTCAATATGTAATTGAAAGCCTTTCCATAAAGAACATTGTAAGCCACATTGGCTCCAGTGGTAAATTCTGCCAATACTGAAAAAATTAGTATCAGTTTGACATAAATTCTTCTGTGGAGTAGAAAAAGAGACAATTCACAATGCGTTTGAGGGGCCCAAGATCTGTCCAGATCCAGATCTGTCAAGGATATTATTAGAAGTGGAAATTAAAGTGAATTTCACTCATAAACATAGATTCAAAAATTTTAAACAAATATTATCAAATGAAATCCAGCAAGATACACAAAAGGATAATATAGAACCAAGTGGAGTTTTTTCCTGGTGTGTGTTACATCTAATCATCAATTGATTTAATTCATCTATAAACAAAACAAGAAAAAAAAACTTATGGTGATCTCACTAAAAGTATAAAAATCAGTTGATAAAATTACATAACCATTCATGTTAAAAAAAAGTCCTTAGCAAATTAATTGTAGAGGGCATTTACAAAAACCTATAGTTAATATTATACTTAATGGAAATAGGCTGAATGCTTTCCCCTAAGGCATCTCCTAAGGGAGTTTTCCTCAGAGTTTTTCATTATGAATGTAGGCATGTGAGGACATCCAAATGGACTGACTGTAAACATAAGAAAAGATTTTTCACTTATTAGGGAATTAAAATGAAAACCACAGTCAGATACCCCTATGCATTCATCAGAATGACTATAATGAAACAGACTGATAATACAAGTATTAGAGATACTGTGCATGGGGGAAAGTCCCATTTACAGGTGGTGGTTACATAAATTAGTACATCTGCTTTAGCAAGCTGTTTGGCAGTATCTGCTGAAGTTATACATGTGTAGTTTATAAGCCTGTGTTTTCACTCTCAAAATGCATATACACATACCAAAAGTTTTGTGCGTGAATGTTAACAATGGTTAAAAACTAGAAATAACTGTAATGTCTATCAGTAGTGCATCGGGTGAATAAATTGTATGTAAATACTTTACAGCCAATCAAAAGACAGGGTATCAGAATGGATAAAAAATCAAGGTCCATCTATATCCTACTTACAAGAGACTCACTTTAGACCTAAAGACACCTACAGATTCAAAGTGAGGGAATGGAGAGCCATATATCATGCTACATGTTAATGGATGTCAAAAGAAAGCTGGAGTAGCCATATTTATATCAAACTAGATTTTAAAACAAAGACCGTAACAGATGGAGAAGGGCATTATATCATAATTATGGGGTGCCTCCATCAGGAAGATCTAACAGTTGTAAATATTTATGTCCCCAACTAGGGATCATCCAGGTATTTACATCAATTAGTAACAAAAATAAACAAACTTACTGATAATACCATTAAAGTAGGAGACTTTAAAACCCCACTTACAACAATGGACAGATCATCTAAGCAAAAATAAACAAGGAAACAATGGCTTTGATGACACACTGGACCAGATGGACTTAACAGATATACTGAGAACATTTCATCCTAAAGCAGCAAAATACACATTCTTATCAAGTGCACATGGAACATTCTCCAGAAAAGATCACATACTCGGTCACAAATCAGCCCTCCGCAGGTACAAAAAGATCGAGATTATACCATGCATATTTTCAGATCACAACACTATGAAACTTGAAGTCAACCCCAAGAAAAGATTTGGAAAGCCCTCAATATATGGAGGTTAGATAACATCCTACTAAAAATGAATGGGTTAACCAGGAAATTAAATAATTTTTTTTAATATTTATTTTTGAGAGAGTGAGAGAGAGAGCACAAGCAGGGGAGTGGCAGAGACAGAGGGAGACACAGAATCCAGTAGGCTCCAGGCTCTGAGCTGTCAGCACAGAGCCTGACGCAGGGCTTAAACCCACAAACCATGAGGTCATGACCTGAGCTGAAGTCGGATGCTTAACTGACTGAGCCATCTAGGCACCCCTGTATGGTTCTATTTATATTTGTAAACATATGAATCTTAACAGTGGTATGAAAAGTTAGGAAAATGGTTAAATTTGGCAAGGGTGTCTGAATTGTATTTGGGAAGAGGAGATGGGAAGGATTTTGGACTGCTATTAATGTGTGTAAGAATCCATATGTTCCTGTTAGGTAGAGTGCTTGTTAACCATGATACAAAAGAGAAGAAACAGAATCATACAACTCCTTGGGGGTGACCTTCATTTAGCAATTACTTCCTTGTGAAATTATTAATTAAAAGGAAATGATAAATTATCTTTTCAGATTTGCATGTCATCCTTGCACATGCGCCATGCTAATCTTCTCTGTATCATTCGAATTTTAGTATATGTGCTGCTGAAGTGAGCATAAGCATATGCCTTTCCCAATTAACATAACTATCACTTATGCACTACCATTCTTCTTTACAGGTTAATAATAATAATAATAATACCCAAAGAATGATAAAAATCACAAAATCACCAATTTGCAAAACCACCATATTTGCAGAGAAGTGTGTGAATGTTATCAGTGTATTTCCTTGGTGCCTAAATACTGCTGTGTAGAAACTTATTCGGGGGCCTCATTTTGAAAAACAGTTTAAAAGCAAATATTTCCCAGTATAGAGAAAAAGTTAAAACCAATAGGGGCTTAATGACATTGTTTTAGTTGCTCAAGGCCTGCGCTTTGACTTTTTTAAGTCTTGAAATTTGAAACTTTTTTTTTTTAACGTATTGTAGGAGTTCCCTCCTCCCCCCCCAATTCCAACAAGGGTTTTATTTTACCAAAGTACAGTGTGTATGAATTCCATATGATATCAGTAATCACTGTAGGTGATGGTTTTTTTCTTTTCCCAGACATTGCTTCATTAAATTCATTGTTGATAATCCAACAAATACTCAGTTCTTTTTGATGATTTAGGGTAATGTGGGAGAAATTAGGCTTCTTCATTTTGCATTTTTCCTTAGTGCAGTCCACAGATAAGGTGGCTAAAACAAATTCAGCCCTAAATTTTCACCTGAGTGGTATTACAAATAGCATTCTAACAAAAACATTTGGTTACATGTATGTTTTAATGAAAACAGACATAGACTGTATGAAGGTTTTATACCACCGAAATTAAACATTCTTCTATTGTGTAGATTAGCAATTTAAAAAAGAAAAGTTTAGAAAGTTCTTTTAAGCCTGGCAAAAGCTTTCCAGTCTTTATTATATACCAATTATTTTCTGCGAGATGAATAAATTATGAATTTATTTCCTAGGAGGAGTATAGAACTGAAGGTATCAGCTGGCACAATATAGATTATATTGATAATACCTGTTGCATCAATCTTATTAGCAAGAAACCAACAGGACTACTCCATCTTTTGGATGAAGAAAGCAAGTGAGTATGATTCTTTCAATTTTGCTGTTGGCCATTTGGGATTTTCATGTCTTTTTATTAACTGTGAAGTTTTCTCCTTACATAATGAAATAATGTGCCAAAGTTTCCCTTGTATGCATTTTATTATGTGTGTGTGTTTCTAGGAAAATTGGATGCACTTCAGCATTGAATGCATTCTTTCCTTGAGTTTTTCCAGATTTCTTCTACTGAGTTTCTTTGACGTTAAATTTGTTAGCATATTTTTTGTTGTTTTCCATGTTCTTCTCTTCCTGAATTGGGTTTTATATAAGATATGTTTGTAGTTTTCATGTTTATCAGCAAAGAATATCATGATAGATTAGTGATGTCTGTCACAGCTGTGCAAGTGTAAATAGCAATATAGGCCAAGTATTTGGCATCCTTTTTACCACTGTGTAGTATACCAAACTTATATATAAGCTTCAGAAATAAAACTTCATATAGCATCCTCCACAGTGTTTTCAGTGCTCTATAAGATATTATCTAAAGTAAAATTATCTTATGAGATGGCAAATCTAGAACTGGAGAAACTGAAGTGATGGGGAGTATTTAAGTTTTCTGTCACTCTTCAGTAAAATGTTTAGTAATTAGGTCACCTGATGTCTAGCTTAACATTATACCCATTGAACTAAGATCTAAAATATTGGGAATTCACTATCATAGGTGGGATGACTATACATCACCAGGCTTGAATAGGACAATCTGAAGTTTATGCCTGTTGTCCAGTTTAGTTATTAAAGGTGCCTACTTTTACTTACAGATATCCTGGTTTGTATGGTAGGTTGTAGGTTACGCTACTAATATGCCATAAACATTCAGAATTGCTATCTACCAGTCTCATGGTCTTTAGATTGAGCCTGTGTCAGCCTCCAGGCTGAGCGTGTAACTTGTTAGGGATTCTCTATCCTCCTGTTTCTGCCTCTCTCCTGCAACTACGTGCTCTTTCTCTCACGATAAACATTAAAAAAAAAAAAAAAAAAGAATTGATACCCAAAAATATAAAGTAATACAGCAGATTGCAAAATAAATTGAAAAGGAGAATGTTACCAGTTACATCTTCCTACTTTATCACTAGTCTGTTTCCATTAATTTAAATGAATTAAAATACAATTAACACAAAAATATTTTATATCCAAAGTTGCGTAAAAGTTTTTTGTATTGCTCTATATGTCCTGAAACATATAGAGCAATTTTATAAAATTGTAAGGTCAGTGGTTCTTAGCTGTGCTCACATACCTTACCTCTGGTGTATTTTATTTGGAAAGCTTCATAGGTGATTATGATATTCGGTGTTGAGAACTACTGTGGTTGATGTTAAAATGCAGTTCTTTTTTTGAGGTATTTTATGATAACAAAAAGAACAAAGTGTAAGCAATTCTAGAAAAAGATTATACAGGTATCAAATGATGGATTTGAGATTCAGATACTCCAGGTATTTCTAACTAATTAGCTTGTGCTTTTAAGTATTGTCCTATAAAGCTTCTTCATAATGCTCAGGCTGTAGAGTCAGAATTTCAAGGTTGCATTCCATCTCTATTAACTGCCTTTGGCAAATCTCTGAATGTTCTTGGTCATTGTTTTTTTTTCATGTAAAAAGCAGATGATGATGAGAAATGATAATGCTTTGTGCTATATATCTTAAGGTGGTTGTAAGTAGCAGTTGAGATATAGTATATAATTAAAACATGGGAGAAAAGGGTTGTTGCCTGGCCTATCATTCTTTACTCAAAATATTTTGAGTTCATATCTTACTTTACAAAGACTGTATTTTCCTGGTCAGTTGCTACCTCCCATAGATATAAATATTACCCAATAAGAGACTGTCAACTCTTTGCCATTACTCAAAAGTTCCTGGGTGTAAGCCATGTGGCCAGAAATTACAGAGAGACGGATTTTGGCTCAATGTAAGGAAGAACTTACTAGTCAGTAGAGCTGATTAGCAGCTGCTTTATAAAGTAATAAAATTTCCCAAAATCATAATTATTTTGCATCATCTGTAGTTGGGAGACTGGACTGAATAACCTCTTAATTGTCCCTTCAGCTATACTTCTATATTCAGTCCTCCACAAAATTTTTTTTATAAACCCTAGTATAATTTTCTTCATTTCTATATCAGTCCTGTTGTTCTTACCTCCTTTTGTAAATGGACCACTTTGTCTCTATGCGTTAACATCCCAGAAGATGCAAAGGCATGAAATGTTTTCTCTCTGCCAAAATGGGTTGAAAACAGTCACATTTAAGAAGAGCTATTTGGGGACCACTTTATAAAGTAGTTTTCTTCTAAGAACTGTTTTGTTCTATAGGGAGCATATAACTTGAAATCTATCCTTAGTGGTGTTTCTCCTTCATTCAGTGTTATTTTACTGCTTTAGGTGAATGGGTTTGAAGTCAGAAGTCTTGTTTAATTTTGTCTTGCTATCTCTGGGCTGTTTGACCTGGGCAAGTTATTTAAGCTTGATTGTAAAGGATGCAGTGCGAAGTTTAGAAAGAAGGAGTAGAATAAGCAAAGTTAGGTATGAGCAGGATGTTAGGAGTGTTACCAGTCTTTCCTACAGTATTCAAAGTGTGATCTGTTGATGGCAGGACTTGCAGCACCTTGAAGCTTGTTAGAAATGCAGAATCTGAGGGACGCCTGGGTGGCGCAGTCGGTTAAGCGTCCGATTTCAGCCAGGTCACGATCTCGCGGTCCGTGAGTTCGAGCCCCGCGTCAGGCTCTGGGCTGATGGCTCAGAGCCTGGAGCCTGTTTCCTGTTTCCGATTCTGTGTCTCCCTCTCTCTCTGCCCCTCCCCCGTTCATGCTCTGTCTCTCTCTGTCCCCAAAAAAATAAATAAACGTTGAAAAAAAAAATTTTTTTTAAAAAAGAAATGCAGAATCTGAGACTTCGACCCCAGACTCTTTTAACAAAATGAAGTTAAGATCAGTGCATTCATTTAGGACAGCATTTCATGAGTCTTGCCTGCCCATAAGAATTACCTGGAGAATTTGGAAGTAGTACTGATCATCACCACCCTAGGGTCAGTTCAGTAGAATCACAGGAATGGGGTCTAGGCCTTGGTATTTTTGCAAGCTAAAGACACAGAGAGGCACTAAGGCTATCCTGGCAGATAGCCTTTGGGGAACACTAGATGGAAAAGCTTTGACATGCACAATAATGTATGATATTTGTCTCTGTTCCAAGCTCTTTTGCTTGATATTGTAGTGTGTATCTATAGGTGTGTATTGAATGCAGGAAATGTGGAGAGCTTCCCTTTCTATCTTTCCTTGTTTGGAATAAAAACTGTTTTCATGTATGTTTTCCTTTGAAAATTTTTTTTCTCCATTTAAAAGTAGGAAAAAAATCATAAGCTTTTTGATTACCCAGGGGATTATCCAGAGACCATGAGGTGTGAGTATCCTTTCTGAAGAAAAGCATCCTGTGCTGTGGATAGTGAAGCATTAAGTTTGCAGAGTTTGAGTTTGTCTAGGGTTAGGAGCTTGGATTCTGTCTCTTTGCCTTGGTGATCCATAAATTTTCCTGAGTAGGGGAGGCACATGATTAAAGCAGTATTCTAGGAAAATTTGTTATTTTGCTTTGGTGACTTGAAACAAAGTTTAAAGTCACTGACACTTGTAGAGGCTGTTGCTGTACTCTCTGTTTGAAATTGTAAAAGTTATAGTTCATTCTAGAATGGCTTTAGAGTTCTAGAATGGACAGGAAGAGGTGGATGGTGGAGATGTTTTGAGGAAGGGTTGGTATTGAATGGAAAAGCAGGCCTAGGTGGATAGAAAAATGGCAGTGTTGGCAACTTAAGAAATGAGGTGACATTTATGTCCTTCCTATAGGATGCCAGCTAGTGTTAGATGTTTTTACTAGTTTTATTTGATTCTGCTAACACTGTGATACCTCATTGTACTCATTTGTGGAAGCTAGCTGGTTCTTGAAGCTTACTGAAGGTCACTGACAGAACTGGTAATCTAAACAATGACTAACACCAAAGGCGTTCATTTTAATACATTTACATAATTATTTTCGTTATAATTTTGGAATCATTTTTACACATTAGATTTTGTATTCATCATCTTTACAACCTCATGTCACATTATTTCTCATTACTTCAGCTACTATTAAATGAAACTATTCTCTGAAAGATACTTGCTTCTTCCGTTTTGTCAGTGATATTTCCTTTATTAAGAAACTCCACCTTTAACATTTAGCTCATAATTGCCTCCTGTATCTTCGTTAAACCTTTCCATTATTTCCAACCACTAGTGATTTTTTCCTCTTCTGAACTTTTATATTCTTGTATTTGCTATCATGTATTTATTTCTTTTTCTTTTTTTTTTTTTTTTAATTTAATGTTTATTTTTGAAAGAAGAGAGAGAGTATGAGTGAGGGAGAGGCAGAGAGAGAGGGAGACACAGAATTTGAAGCAGGCTCCAGGCTCTGAACTGTCAGCACAGAGCCTGACGCAGGGCTTGAACTCACAAACTCACGAACTCATGAACCGCAAGATCATGACCTGAGCCAAAGTCAGACGCTTAACCGACTGAGCCACCCAGGTGCCCCTATCATGTAATTATTTTTAATAGGTATCATTTGAATGATCCCTAGATATGAAATGCTCATCAGTGAGTATAAACCCATTGATGTATATTTGAAATAATAATAGATATAGTATAAATTTATATAGTAACTGGTATAGGTATGAAAATTGCTACTTAATTTATATATCAAGAAATAGGAAAACAGAAAATGACTTATGGATTTAAAGGATGTATCAAAACTGGGAGATCATTTTGTTTTTGGAAGTTCTTGGCCCCAAACAGTGGATCATTTGAGTTTTATTTGGTGAGTTTAATGGTAGTGTCACACAATGCAACCTAAGCTAAAAGTTTAAAGACTTGAGTTTATTTCTCAGTTCTGCTACTTGCCAAGTGTGAGTTTGGGCAAATCATGAATTTTGATCCCTCATCTATAAAACATCAATCCTTGTTACATTCACTTTTTAGCTTGTTATAAGAATCAGATTAGAGAATATAATTTGCTCTTTGTAATTTGCTAAATGTGTTAGATGGCAATGTAATTATGAGGGTTTTTTTTTTTAAGATTATTAACTGTTGCATCTTTCTTTAGTATTTTTGCTTTTGTTTTTAATTCAGCTTTCCACAGGCTACAAATCAAACATTGCTAGATAAATTTAAGCATCAACATGAAGAGAATTCTTACATTGAATTTCCAGCTGTGATGGAGCCTGCTTTCATTATAAAGCATTATGCCGGGAAAGTAAAATATGGGGTAAAGGTCAGTAAATTTCTCATTAAAATGCCTTCAGGGTAAAAGTGTGTTTACTGTATTATCATTCCTGTCACACTGCTTTCTTTGTAGTTTATGGAAGCTCTTGATCAGTAACAATTAGAGACATTTTGTAAGAATACTACTAACCCTCGTATCCTACCTTGCAATATATTACTGTCTTATGTGATATTTTTCTTGGCTTCTTCCTATAGATAAACTTGATATCAGTCCCTTCAAATAGTTTTTTGAATATAAAAGAATAGGTAGCATAAATATCTCTTAAACCCACTATTTCATTAAGTGGTTTGATGAATTTTTCTCTTCCCTATATCCATGAAGCTTGACAGAAGATTTTGTCTTCATGCACCATTAGGTATTTGTGAGTTTGCATTCCTAATGCATATATTGAAACTCTTAACTCCTGCAGAGGGGAACCTTCATAATTGTGTCTATTTCCTGTTTGTAATTAGTGAGCCCATTACCCTTCAACCACTTGATGTTTAAGCCTACCATTTAAGATAATTTCCCAGGCAAGGCAGTGATGTTTTGGAGAAAAGTGGAGCAATAAGCTTTCTCTTGGGTCTTGAGATTAGAGTCACAACTGAGATCACTCATTCATTCATCAATGATTCACTTATTTAGGAAGTGTTTGTTAAATACAGGCTATGTGTCAGACACTGTCCCTGGTGTTTGGAATGGCTTAGTGATAAACTAGACAGACCTGTTCTTGGCTCAGTATGTGTGTGTGTGTGTGTGTGTGTGTGTGTGTGTGTGTGTGTTTGCGTGTAATATAGATAAATGGGTATTGCTATAAATAAATGAATGAGTTCTATGAGAGATAGTAGTCAAATAGTGGATTTTGAATTTGGAGATCCATGAATACCTCTCTGAAAACTTAAATATTGAGAGTTAACCTGAAACAAGCATTACCTTGGCGAGGAGTTGAGATGATGAATATTCTAGGACATGAGGTGGGAAAGAATTAGTATGTTAAAATAATTGAAAACAGGCTAGTGTTACTAGATTATGGTAAACAAGGGAGATAGTGGCATGAAATGAATTTAGAGAATGGACAGCAAGTTAATTCATAGCTTTTAGGACAAGTTAAAGGTGTTTGTTTTTTGTTGAACTTATTATGGGGAGCAATAAAAAGATTTTAAACAGGATGTGATTCGTGTTTTTTAAAGATTGCTTTGATTCCTTTGAGGAGAAGGAATAGCAGAGGATGAGAGAGGAAGCTGGGAGATCAGTTAGGAGCTTTTTTAAATAGTTGAGGTGAGGGGCGCCTGGGTGGCGCAGTCGGTTGAGCGTCCGACTTCAGCCAGGTCACGATCTCGCGGTCCGTGAGTTCGAGCCCCGCGTCAGGCTCTGGGCTGATGGCTCAGAGCCTGGAGCCTGTTTCCGATTCTGTGTCTCCCTCTCTCTCTGCCCCTCCCCCGTTCATGCTCTGTCTCTCTCTGTCCCAAATAAATAAATAAACGTTGAAAAACAAAAAAATTAAAAAAAAAATAGTTGAGGTGAAATGTTAAGGTAAACTGAACCACCAGGGTGACAGTAGAGATGTAGGAGATCTAGATGATTAAGAAAAAATTTTGGAGGTGTAATCAGTAAAACCTGATTGATTTATTCTAACCTATCAGATAGGTTGAAAGTAAGTGACTTCTGACTGTAACTGATGGGTGAATTTGAGGTGCTGTTTCCTGAGATGGAAAAGACAGGAAGGAACAGATTTTAGAACAAGCATAAAGAATAACAGAATAGGGGTGCCTGGGTGGCTCACTTGGTTAAGCACCTGACTTCGGCTTAGGTTATGATCTCACAGTTCGTGAGTTCAAGTGCTGCGTGGGGCTCTGTGCTGACAGCTCAGAGCCTGGAACCTACTTGGGATTCTGTGTCTCCCTCTCTCTCTGTCCCTCCCCTGCTCACACTCTGTCTCTAAAAATAAATAAATATTGAAAAAGAAAAAAAAAAAAAAGTAACAGAATTGAGTGGTGGCTACCAGGGCTGGGGATGGAGGAATTGAGATGTTGGACAAAGGATACAGACTTGTAGTTAGAAGATGAATAAGTTCTGGAGCCCTGATGCACAGCATTGCAATTATAATTAACATTGTAATAATAGCATTGTCTTCAAAGTTGTTAAGAGACTAGATTTTAGATGGTCTCACCATAGAAAAGAAATGATAAATTAAATGACCTGATGGAAGTGTTAAGTAATGCTATAGTGGTAATCATACTGCAGTGTATAAATGTATCAAATTAACATATTATATACCTTATATATATTACATGTCAGTTTTATCTTATGTAAAAAAAAGATTTTAAAAATACAGTTTAGAACAAAAACCAGAAATCTTGAGCTATATATAGTGAGGTGCATAAAATACATAAATCTAAAGTGTACAGATTTCTATCAGGCCCCTCCCCAGCTCATTCTCCCCCACTTAGAGGTAACCACTATCCTCATTTTTTATCCTTGGTTTTACTTGTTATTAAATTTCAGATAAATGGAATTATATATACACTTGTATGGATTGTTCATCCATATTATCAGATACGTTGAAATTAAAAGTATGGAAAAATATATACCACACAAACCCTAACTAAAAGAAAGCTGATGTATAATTATGTTATTATCAAAGTAGACTTTAAAGCAAGAAGTATTACTAAAGATAAAGAGGCACATTTCATAACAATAAAAGGGGCCAGTTTGACAGGAAGACACAATCATCAAAAGTTGCATGTACCTAATGATTTGATTCAGTACATAAAAAGCAAAGTGAGAACAAAAGTAGAACTAGAAAAATCCATCTGGTTGTAGATTTTTATACATATCTCTTAGTAACAGAATAAGCAGACACAAAATCAGTAAAAACAGAAAAATTGAAAAGCATTGTTAAAAACTGACCTGCTTGGTATATTAATAAGGGTAAGTAGGCAGTCTTTGGGTGTTCAGAAATTAAGCACAGTCCATCTGTGTAACCCATGAGTCAAAAAAGAAATTACAATATAATACTAAGTTCAAACTGAGCATGAATGAAAATACAACATATCAAAATTTGCAGATTTGATAGTAATTGGTAGGATGCATTTAAAGCAGTGATTTATAACTTTAAATGCATATATTAGGAAGAATGGTTGAAAGTAATTAACATTCCGTTTCAAGAAACTAAAAAAAGAACAGGAAATTAACCCTACTCCTCCAAATTAGAAGGAAATAATAAAGGGAAGATCAGAAATCAATGCAGTAGAGAACAAACATACAAGAGAGAAATTACCAAAGCCAAAAATTAGTTTCTTAAAAAGATAACAGAAAATAATCTAAGTAAAAGGTAATAGAAAATAACTGATAACAGAAAAATATTTAAAAATTACAAATATCAGAAAAGAAAAAGAGGACTTAACTACATACTCAACAGATATTAAAAAGATCTGAACATATTTTGCCAATAAACTTGTTAACATGAAAATGGAAAATTCCGTGGAAAACACACATCATCAAAACTGACACTAAAAATACAGGCAAACCCGGGATTCCCACTTCTGTTAAACAATTTAAATCAGTAGTTTAAATCTTTCCCACAAAGGAAATTCCAGGCCCACATGATTTTACTGGTGAATGCTTACAAACATTTAAGTAATACTAGTCTTGCTCATTCTCTTTCAAGTTTGAGATCCCTTTAAGATGTATAAGTGGATCTCAAACAAGAAAGATCTGAGGTAGAAATACAGATTTAGGCCTCATCATATAGATAGTGTTTAAGGTCATTATTATGGTTGAGATCAATCACCTTACATCAGATAAGAATTTCAAAAATGGAACCAGCAGTAGGGACTGAGAATGCACAGCACAAAAGGTAAGTAGTAAATCACAAGATGTGTTGTTATAGAAACCAAGAAGAAAATGTCAAGAATGATATGATCAGTTTGTGAAATGTACTTAGAAATCTGGAACTCTGAAGACATATGAGACCATTGCATTTGGAAAATGAAGGTCTCCCATCAATATTTAACAGTCATCATGGAAAAGATTTCTAGAATTTTATGTCGTACCATATAGTTATTAATAGGATGGGATGGTCTTTGGTATAGAACAGACTAGTGTTTCAGTTCCTGTAGTTTGACCTTCTTTATCTTTCTATTTACTTATCAGTAAAGTATGGTTTATAATTATTCTGTGTTATTAAGTACTTGTTAGAATTGAATAAGTTATGTATAGTCCTTAACTTAGTGCCTGGCATCTTGTCTCCCATTGTAGGTATTAGCTGCTGCTGCTGGTGGTGGTGATTTGAATTTGTAAATTCTAACTCAGTTTTACTAACTTTTATAATATATACTTTTGCTCAAAAGATGGTTAGGGGAAAGCCAAGGACCAAGATTTCTGGCTTGTTTTCCCTCTTCTATTCTCAAGAGAACAAAGAACAGGAAAAGAAACCCCTAACAGTTAATAGGATGAGTCCAAACTGCCTTCTAGAAAACATCATACTAGGCTTGCTCCTCGTAGAAGTCTGAGTTAGAGCTGTTCTGTGAAGTTGCACCAACTCCAGGTGATTTACTCACCAAGTTTTAATCCTTTAATCTGGGTGTGTTGGACTATACATATCAGTCTAGAACCTTCTTCCATGAGTATAAGCTTTTTGTCCTCTTTATCTTTGTGTGGAGTGTTTTAACCCATTTTCTTCTGATATTCCCTCCGACCTCCATTGGCAGGTGGTTTTTACTGCCTGTTTATGCTCTTTAGGTAATACTATCCTGCTTTAAAAAAACTCTGTGGATGATATCCATATGTATTTTCTGAAGTCTGTATAGGATTCGTAGATGCATATATTCATCTGCCTACTTGATGTCTGTATGCAGACATAGTACAGTGGTTATGAGTGGTTGTCTTTGAATCCCTGTTCTACTTACTGTGTGATAGGGACCAAGATAGTTAACCTCTCTGTGACTGAGATTCTTCATCTATAAAATAGGAATAATAGTAATATTCTCTATCTTAAGGAGTTGTTAGGTGGATGAAATGAGCTTAAATGAGATAGCACATGTAAAATGCTCAGAGGAGTGCCATGTACATAATAACCATTCAATAAATGTTACTTACTGCTATCTTTATCCTCACCATCTCAGACTTCACTTGTACAAAACTAATCTCTTGGTCTCATTTCCTTTCCCTAAACCTTCTCTTTTCTCTGTGCTTATCCATATCAATATGGCACCTCTATCCACCTAGTTACTTAAACCCAAAATATAGGTGTTATGCTTATTCCCTCATTTTCTCACTGGGGCCTAATCCACCAGCAAATTACCAGCCTTACTTCCAAAACATATCCCAAATGCAATAACTATTTTCTCTTTACAGTATTACCACCAATGTAGTCTAAAGTCACAATTAGCTCTTACCTGGAATATTGTAGTAGCTGTTCTCCTTTTTTTAATTCTTTGCACAAATTCATTCCCTCTGCAACATCCAGTGTTGTTTATAAAACAACATTTAGCTTATGTCATTAGCCTTCCATTGGCTTTCCTTTACACTTGAATAAAACCCAAACTCCCAACTCAGGCTTACGTAACCTATTTATTTGCCAAATCTTCCACCACTCTCACCCTTGCCCAGAATGCTCCAGCCCCTGGTTTTACTGCTTATCTCCTAACTTGTCCAGTTCATCACCACCTATGGGTAGTAGGTGTTTCCTTTGCTTAGAACACTGTTCCTTGTCTTATGTCTGCCTCCTTTTTATTGTTCAACTCTCTGGTCATTTTATATAATACCCCTTCAGAGAGGCTCAATGTTTAACAAGCTGCAATAAAATAATTGAATATTCACTCTAAATGAAATGTATTATAGAATTCAGTAGTTTTAGGGTTGGATGGGACTTTATAGAAGGTATCTGATCCAGTTAGCTACCTAGAACAGAAATCACTTCTATAGTCCTTATTTAGCCACTTTTCAGATATGTCACCCATTGTCTTCTTGGTTTAATATTTTTTTCAGAAATAACATTGGTACTTTTTTCATGTAGGATTTCCGGGAAAAAAATACAGATCATATGCGCCCTGACATTGTAGCTCTTCTAAGAAGTAGCAAGAATGCATTTATCTCTGGGATGATTGGAATTGATCCTGTAGCGGTTTTCCGATGGGCAGTTCTCAGAGCTTTTTTCAGAGCCATGGTTGCTTTCAGGGAAGCTGGGAAAAGACACGTTCAGAGAAAAACTGGTAAGCAGTAGATATTAGTATTCTACCATATTTCATCTTTTAATTTTTTACCTTTTTAAAATAGAGGTATCATAATTTTGTTCTCTTCTGTTTTCTTACCATATCCTAACATCATTTTCAGATCTTATTAGTTCTAGTGAACTTTATATGATTAAGTGGATATATGGTGTTTGTGTGTATATATGTGTTGGTACATTTTTATTAATAAATCCTGAGAGGAGTAATGTATGTAAGACACCTGGTATTTAATAGGCATTTAGTAAAACATTGGTAAAATTTTTAAACAAAAAAACAAAATGATACTTACCATTATTTATATAGAATTAAATATTGATACCTTTTTCTATTTTCTTCTTAGGCCATAGTTTTTACTCCAAATGAAACATAATTTAATGTGGAAGAATAAATCAGGAGATAGAAAAATTGGGATAGAGGTAGGGTAGTCTAGTTAGAGATAACCTGGCTTCAGTAATCAGTCAAGTGTCATTTCTTCTCTTGAAGAGGTTTTGTGACTATTTGAAGAAGTTTTTCTTGAAAATATTGCCTTCAAAATTGTGAGGTAAAGTCAGATAATAATGATACATATAAAATATCTGTTTACAAATGTTAAATTTCTTTTCTTCCCACTCTTTAGTTCATTGAATTTTACTTTGAAATTTAGAAATGAATGAAGCAGGATACTTTTTCTGTGTCTTTTCCCCTTAAATCATAAAACGCCATATTTCACATTCTGTGGGAGGACATCTTCATAAGCACTTGCCACTTAATGGAAACCACACTGTTGCTTGCTGTAGCTCTAGCCTTAGATAGACCATTGCTGCATAGTGAGGATTTTCTAATATATATGTAGTGATTTAAAATAAGTTTTTCTGCCCAGAGAAGCTTCAGTAGAAGTTCTCTAGGACACATCTGTGCTTTCAGGACCCCCAGACTTACATATATGGCTTTTTGGTATGTGTACTAGCAGTAAAACTTTTAGGTTCAGCTTTTATATATTTCAGGTGAATACACATATTTGGTAGATTGTATTTCTAAAATGAGAGAAAAATGCTAATTGAGCTTAGCTTCTGTTTTTCAAATTATAATACGTGCAAACTGGCCTTTGTAGGTAGAGAGAAATACAGTTTTTTGGAAAATAAAAGGAATATCTTAAACCTGCTATGTCTTTTACAAAATTATTTCTAAGAGGCTCTCTTTGAAAAAAGCTTTAAGGAAAGATTTTTTTTCCTTTAAGATATGTTCTTACTTATTACAATGGATTTATTAATTTTGAAAATTTAAAAAATTGGTAAGTATCCTGCTAAGGTATAACTAAGCGAAGAAACTTTTCTTGTATTTACTATTGAAAATATTGCTTTCTGTAAACATTATTCACATTGTTTGTATGTTCCTTTGGCATTTAAAATATTATTTGTGAAAGCTGATTGTAGGTTTATTATTATCAATTTGTACAAAGATATGTAATGTTATTAATGATCAGCAAAATGATACTGTGTTATTTCTACTTTGATCATATCTAAATTCTTCTTGTTTTTTAATCTATTTTTCCTTTCTGGCCAGCACAGAGCTTCCATATAATAAACTTTTTGAAAGCTCTTTTATTTTGGGATATAACATGCATGCATACCGAAAAGTGTGTCCCCCAAAATGTATAGCTCAATGAATTATCACAAAGTGAAAACACCCCTGGAACTACCACCTAGATTAAGAAGTAGAATATTACCAACAACCCAGAAATCGCATTCGATTAACTTCTTAAATTTCGTTTTTTCTCAAGAAAAAGAAATTCCATAGTTCATTTGTATTTTGAGGCAATGATGGAACAGACTTGTTACAGGAAATAATTGTATTACTGTAAATTAGTGTCAGTGCAAGTATTCAGCTTTTTTTGCTCCTTCCACATCTCTCACCACTTACTGTTCTCTGATGGGTTTAGGATAAAAGGATGCCATTAAATTAGAACATTGTAGCATTGCAAAATGAAAACTATTGGAATAACTGAAAATGGATTAGTAGTAGATTCAGAACTTTTATAATGACCATAAATAGTGTGCAGACATGTGAAAATGAAATAGGAATTAGAGATTATTTAAGTAGAAGTGGAATATATGGATGGAAGAAGGTAATCAAGTTCAGATTTTGAATAAGAGTTCAAAGATAATACTTTAATGAAGAAAGAAGATGTAGACTGCAGAAGTACAATATATTTTTCACTTCCTTTGAGAGTATCTGTATAAAAAAGTTTTAGTGGCTCTTAGCTAAACTGGCAACAGTTTAACTTGATTGCCAACAATAGTTGATGGTAAACTAAAAAATTTTGGATTTTCTTATGGAAATCCCTGACATTCTTTTTCACCATCAAGCAAACCAAACACAAAAATGAGAATATCAAATTAAAATCTACTTTTTGACTATTGTATACAGACTTCCAAATTAAAGGACACAGTGCTATTTGTTTAATACTTTTAAATAAAAACTAATTCAATTTATTCTTTTCAAGGATAAATTTGTTAAAATTGTGTAATGTATATTATGGTAATCAGGAAACCATAAAATGTCCTTAATGGAGTCATATAAGTAGGCCATCTGAGTAAAGGTACATGTTGGCCCTGAGAAATAGTAATGATTTGTCTGGTCAGCAGTGAGGTATGAGAGAACAGACATTCCAGTAGTGTCATTCACCTTGCCTCTTCCTGAATAAGAAAGATTCTGGAAGAGAGTAGGAGAGATCATAACTTGACCATGAATTATGCTGTATGTAGAAGCGAGTGCAGTGATGTTTTATGTAGCTCTTTTGGAGAATTTTAATCAATCTAAAACAGCTAGACAGAAATGGGGAGTTCAGTTGTGGTATAGGGAAAAGAGGCAAGAACAAGAGAGTTCAAAGTGTCAGTTTTTTCTTCATCTACAGGAGAGAAGCTGAAGTCATTGATATAGTTTTCACAGAGAGCTATAATGGTTTCCACATAACCTGCCCCACATAACCTGTTCCTTTTCCCCACCCACTCAGTGGATTGCATGACTCTAATGTGCTATCATTTCTTTCTAAATGGGAGAAGGGCAAGGGTTCCATGGACCATCTATTTCCAGAAATGACCAGGTACTAAAACTGATATTGATATCACCAAGGGTCTAGGATCTCTATGCAGTACTCTGTCCACAGTTCTTTCCCAAATTTAAATGTACCCTTAATTTAAGACAATTAAATGGATTTTTATGAACAAAATAAACTCTGAATATTTTTTATAAATCACTTGTGTATCAGACACTGTAGTATGGCGGTTTAAGAGTAGTGTCTTAGATGGAATGTCAGTGAAATGGTAGAATAGGAACCTCTTCCATAAAAGCAACACAAATACTTGCAGAAAATGTCAGAATAACTTTGTCAGAACTCAGGAAATTTATCAAAGGCCTGTAGTAATCTAGAAAGCGTTTATACAAGAAAAAAGGCTGAATATTGGTAAAGACAATGCACTTTGTAGCCTTTTAATTTACACTGTTTGCATTCTTCCGTCCCCAGCTCCCCATGATAGCCTTGAAAACCAATAGGTCAGAAACACATTGAATATCAGCAGTTTGACAGCCATTACAGGTAGTAGATGGAGGCTGGAGGTCCTTCAAAAGCCCCATTTCCAGAGAATTATATTCAGCATATTAGGTGGTTCCCTGGAAAACCTGACACCCACTTGCTTCTTTAACCTGACTCAGAGCTTGCCCAGTGTGAATAGCCTTTTATGTAGGGGTGATGTCTAAAAATAATCAGAAGTACTTGTTGAACAGTGCAACTCCCTGCTAGTAGTAGATAGCAGTTGGGGCAAAAACTAACTAAAAAACTTAAAAGGAAAAGCTGGGAAATGAGGTCTCCATAGTAATGGCTTTGAAAATTTCCTGTATCTTCGTGGAAATCTAGATAGTCGTGTAACATACATAGGGCTGTGTACATGCCCAGTCCTATGCATATGCTCAGGAAAGACCCAAGAAGATCCTTCTCTCTCACTTCTATGACCTTCAGGCTCTGTGCAAGCAGGAAGCAAAGGTGAGATCATATAAGACAGTTGTAAACTGCCTAGCAGATTAGCAGGGTGTTGAAGGTGTGCCCCAAAACACATGCACAGTGAACTTTGACAAAGACAGGGAGGTTTATTGCTTCCAGGCATGTAGAAATATCTGCCTTCAGTAATTAGCTGAGCACCAAGCAGACTGATGAGAGATTTCTCTGTGATCATATATGACAAAGAATACAAACTTTATAGAATTGGTTCAGGAAAGTCCCAGACGATAGCAACAGTTACATGAAATATTAAATCCTGGGAAGAAGGGAGAATCTGATTTCCAGAATTGCCATGTTATATTTTTAAAAATATTTGTGTTCCTACTCTTAAAAGTGTGAAGATATAAAAATATGAAATTTGTTATAAATTTGTTGCAAATTAAATGTTTTAATAAAACTCACAAAAATAATTCCTGTTCCTTGAGTGACATGTAAATGTGAAAAGAAGACCTTAAATTATTAAGTAAATAATTACAAATATTGTTTAAAAAAATAAAGATGTTGTTCCACTCTCAAAAAAAATATCTGCTGTTCTATACACAATTATGGGATGTGCAAAGAAAAAATGTGACTATTTTAAATATGTTCAAAGGCAACCATGTCTGAAGACTAATGCAAATTTTGAGAACAATGTCTGACCAAATATAAAGTATTAATTTATATATGTATGAGAAATTCACTAGATTCAGCAACAGATTTGAACAGGCAGAGGCCAGAATCTGTGAACTTGAAGACAGATCAGTTGAGATGATCTGTTCTAAGGAACAGAAAGAAAAAAGAATGAATAAGAATGAAAAGAGCTATGGGACACCAGAAAGTACACTGATTTCTGGTAGTCCAGAAAGATAGAGAGAGGGGCAGTAAACATTTCAAGAAATAATAATGGCCAAAAACTCCTCAAATTTGATGAGGAAACTAATCTATATATCCAAGAGGTTCAAACTACAAT